TCCAGCGTTTGCGCCAAAACTAGAAACTTCTGCACAAGCGGGACAGCATTTTCCCGTTCCGCGCAGGCTTTTGTCTGCGCACACGCCGACAGAAGAGTACCCAGCATATCACGCCGATACTTCAATTTTCTGGTTGATATCCCAGCCCCCTGTGGTCTCTCCTCCAGTATTCGCGTATGGCGACGACACGCGACTCTGTCTGTAACGACACGCCCAACGAGGCTGGGAGGTATCTGGACAGCGGCGTGGAAGGCGTGTGTTCGTGTCATCTAGGAGTTGAGCAACTTTCGCCGTTTGAAGAGGCTTTGTATAAAGCGCTCAACAAAAGTATAGTCGAGCTACCGGTGCTATGCGTAAGATCCCAAGGAGGCACACTGGAAAAAACACTATGGTCGGAAAATCGCGAGATGAGTACAGCTCTAGAAAGTGAGTAAAGCGGCAGAGAATCCCAGAGAAGTAGATGTTGTTTTCTTACCAAGCTCTTTGACAAGTTCAGCCTCGCCTACTTGAGGCTAACAAGCGGTTTGAGACTGTCAAGCACATGGTAGATGTCCAACACCACGATCAAACAGCCACTCTGCCCTTGCACCCACCCACGTGCCTTTGCTATCTATAAAATCTGCTTTGCCGTCTATCAGCTACAGATCGGCAAATATTGCCTTCATGCTATTATTAAGGTATGCGACCTACTCGTGGTATGATCAGATGGCGCTGAGCTGGGCTGATCATATCTTGTTCTTGATTGGCAAGATTGGACTGCACAACGCTCTCAACAGTCTCGGGTCTGTGAGTTCGTTGTGGCCGCGATCAAACACGTACCTTCAATTTTCTCCCCTTGGAAAACAACCATCTCGCACGATGCCAGACGAAAAACCAACAGGAAGACAGTTCTATTCTTCCCATGTAACTTCCAGATTTCGAATTGAGCAATCGATCATATCCAGTTAACGTCCGTCCGTGATGCTCGTGGCCCTCTATTCAGGTCGTATTTGTCAGGCCCTCGTCGCAATACCATCGTATGCGACACATACGTCAACGCAGAGTGTAGCTGCTGAATTTGAGCACGTCTCATCTCGTTGTCTAAGATCAGTTTGTGATAGATCTCAGCATACCTGGCAGCTTGAGTTGAGGAAGTGTCAATATGAACGAAGACAAAACCATGTTGCGACATGTAGGCAGGGGTTACAGAACGGCTGCTTATGTTCATTGTTCCCATCCTCCATGCAACGAACGCGGCCTCAATATGAGGGATGAGGAAGATGGTAGGGCATTCGATCGGTATGTCGGATGTGGCACAGTCTGGTCGTATCTTCAAGCCACTCGCGACTTCAGAAAGATCGACGTCAACGATGAGGCTTATCAGGGCTCGAGCGCAATGACCAGGAAATTCAGGTAAGCAGAGATGACTCATGAGGCCGAAGTCGCGTCCTCTAGCACTGATGAATCCACCATGCGATGTACGGAATTGTAATCAGATGAGAGCGCATGCGTACTGTAGTTTAGCCTGGTTACCTCCCGACAAGCGCTTGATCTTAGAGATTCTTCATTTGAGCCTACGAGGCATCATGGAAGAAGACACGCAAGACTCGCTTGCGTAGTTGCTTCATGTATCAAAGTCAGTGACTGTTATCATGTAGCTCCTGAAGCTGCCTTGAACAATATGTTCGACTTGTAAGAGCTCTTTCTTTCACTGCTGATAGATTATCTGCCGGGGGTCTGGTCGTATTTCGGGACTCGCTGCAGCTCACTGCCGATAGTTCTTCCGCGACAGACTTCTAGTGCGTACAGTTCGCAGACGTTGCTGTTGATGCGTTCGAGATGGAACCACCGGAAAAGTATGTAAGCATCGAAATAAAGCCGGAAGATCGTCTGCGCGTCGAGGAAGTGGGTTCGTACAGCTTTTGAACCAGGCGATCGGGCTTTTGTTCTACCGTCATCAAAAGCCTCCCCTTAAACGAAAACTGCGGGTTCGTCATCAGCTTACCCGACAGCTCGATTTGCAGGCCCAGAGGCGAAGAGAATAGGGTTGCCGTACTAGGCTAAATCAATCAAGGCTCAAACGTCCATTGCGCGTTCGCACATGGCGTTCATCGTAATGTCAGCCCTGCGGCGTCAATGCGACATGCTGGCAAACTCCGACCTAAGTATCATGTTCAGATCAGGGCAGCAATCGGATGCGACGGGCGCCGCTGTAGAAAATCAAAGGGCACTCTAGACGAAACGAAGAAGACAAGGAAGGACCGACTTTTATACACTAGTAAATAAACTCAGCGCTTGGACTTGGTTAAATTACCCACACCCCAGGAACATCAACGCTTCGGTCCGTATATGTCTGGGGAGTACTGCGCAAAATGGGCTTGGAGAATGGTTGGCGTCCGCCAAAGTCAAGAGCTATTCGCTGTTTCGAGTCAACGTTGCGGCCAAATGTTAAGCTTTACGGCTTGGACACCGACGAAAGACCATCAGCTATAGGGCAGTGGCCAATATGAGAAGTATGTAAGAGCCGCGACCTCTTCAGATAGTGTTTCAATCACCACTCGCACATCCTGCAAGTTTCCCTTCAACCTCTTGTTTGAGTTTTTTTGGCTACTAGCCGTCCTCTCATTTCGAAATGCGTATCTCGAACGCTGCCGCTCTTTTCTCCTTGGCCTCTTTGGCTCAGGCTGCTCCGGCCATTCATAACCACAAGCATGCTCACCCACGTGATGTCGGCTACAGTAGTGGCGTGAAGTACCAGTCTGGTATCTTCTACGTCAACTGGGCTATCTATGCGCGTCAGCACTTCGTCACCGATCTCCCAGCCGACAAGTTGACCAAAGTCAACTACGGCTTTGCGAATGTGAACAACCAGACTGGAGAAGTCTTTCTCACCGACGAGTGGGCCGACATTCAGTACGGCTACCCAGGAGACGTTGCCACTAACAGCACTCAATTGCTTGGCAACTTCAATCAGCTGTTCAAGCTCAAGCAGCAGAACCGCAACCTAAAGGTCATCCTCTCGGTCGGTGGCTGGAGCTACAGGGCCAACTTCAAGCCCGCCCTCGCCACCGAGGCGGGCCGCCAGAAGTTCTGTGACAGCGCTCTCACGCTCATTCAGGATCTGGGAATCGACGGTCTTGACATTGACTGGGAGTACCCAGAGGATGAGACCGATGGTGCTAACTTGGTTGACACCCTACAACGCTGCCGCAGGGTATGTATTCATTTTCAAAACCGTTATTGTCCACCAAGTTAACATATCTTCAGACATTCGACGAGTACGCGATAGTCAACGCGGCGGGTTACCACTTCGACCTTGGTATTTCTGCTCCTGCTGGCCCTTCGCGCTACACAGTCATGCCTGTTGCCGAAATGGACCCATACGTTGACAACTGGAACCTGATGGCTTTCGACTACCAGGGCCCTGGCTTCTCCAACTTCACTGGTCATCTCAGCAACGTTTACCCCAGTTCCAAGAACCCCAGGGCTACAAATGGCTGGGATGTTGTCACTGAGGACTTCGTCCCCTTCAACACCAAGGAAGCCATCGACTACTACAAGGCCAACGTTGCTTCGCCCAGCAAGATTCAGCTCGGTATGCCTCTTTACGGCCGCTCTTTCGCTAACGTTGTCGATCTGAGCAAGGAACAACGCGGTTTGGGCCAGAAGTTCAACGGATCTGGTGACGGTACCTGGGAGCCTGGTACTCTTGACTACAAGGTTCTTCCCCAGAATGGCAGCAAGGTGTACCACGACAAGGAGACTCTGGCCGCCTGGAGCTGGGACCCAGTTCGCAAGCAGATGGTTAGCTTCGACACACCCAAGGTTGCCTCATGGAAGACCGATTACCTTATGCGGGAGGGTCTCGGTGGTGCCTGGTGGTGGGAGTCATCTGGCGATTTTCCCGTCACTGATGACAAGAGCATTGTCGCCACCGTTGTCAACAAGCTTGGTGGTGAAGCAAACTTCAGGCAGAGCTGGAACAACCTTTACTACCCCAAGTCGAAGTACTACAACATCCGCCCTGCGGTGAACTCGACTATTACAATCACCTTTTAGATAGTGAGTCCGGCGTCCTCAATCAGGCAACTCAAAGCCAGTCGATAATTCTTTTCTATACAACCACATTTTAGAAGAACATTTTGCTTGCAATCTCTTCGCAAGGGCTTAATGCAAGAGATGCACGTGATGCGAACTCACGAACAGCTCGCACAATGAATATCCCAGCTTCCACTGTGACTATATACTGCCTACTGTTCTATGATTTTGGAAGTTCAAATCATCATGCCTCTCCTGTCTCACTCTAACATCTCGCTGCAATCCTCTCCTGTGCGCATATGATACCCAGGATTATCAAACAAGCCTGTCGTGAGTACCTGCCCTTGAAGCTCCAGCCGCTGCAGCGAATTTCCTGATAAGCCCACAGGGAAGGTCTGGCAAGATACACTGGTGTAGGCGTAAAGGCCGAAGCAATGAACACGAGTATATCACCATCAGGCAGATCAATGATATTCTCCTCCATATTGGCAATGACCAGATCGTCGGGCTTATGCATCGATGTCTGTTCACCGCTTTTACCGAAAGTTTCCAGTGTAACGGGGAGAGATTCGGAGGCCCGGAGTGATTAAAATGTCTTGAAGCACGAAGACAGAGGTTGGGATTATGACCACTTGTAAGTTGTCACTTACTGTGCACAGAAAAGATGAGTGCACATGGCCAAATGCTAGACGCTCGGTCTTCCATGTACGCCTTATGATCAACCCTGAATTTGGTGACTATGTTCATTACGGTAAAAAAATATCGTGATACTTAATTGATAAGGGTCTTCTTCATTGAAATGATTTGGATCTGGTGGAGGGTGTATGGCGGCGAAGAGCAAGAGCAAGACGTGATGGTCCAACTGAACCTAATCTCAAACCTGCACCACGACGTCATCCCTGCCAGCTACTGATCTGAAAGGTGCGGCTCAGATCGGACCCACTTCCCAAGTAAGCAACACCTGTCTGTACAACCCCACCAACATGAATGCCATTGTGTTCCGCTGGTCCAGTCATCTCAGGAACCAATACAAGCCATCTGGACTCAACAGTATTCGGATCTACTCACCTGCGACGAGATTGGTGAGCAGCATGTCGCAGCCTGTGCGACCGCGGCGGTTCGCACCGTTGGATCCCGCAAAAAGGATGGATGGAGATGAGAGGCCATTATTGAAGGGAATCGTCTTTGATGTCGATGGCACATTATGTAAGTTGTCCAATGGTGCGTGCGATACATAATTTCATGTACTAATTAAGTGGAAAAAAAGGCTTACCACAAAACTACATGTTCGCGGAGATGCGGTCAGCGTTGGGTATTGAGAAGCCAACGGACATTCTGGACCACGTCTACTCACTGCCCGAGAATGAGCAAGAAGAAGCACAGGAAAAAATCCGTGACATTGAACGCACGGCAATGAAGTCGCAACAGCCGCAAGCTGGCCTTGTGGAGCTCATGGAGTACCTAGATTCACGTGGCATCAAGAAGGGCATCTGCACACGCAACTTCGATGCACCTGTCACTCATCTCCTTACCACCTTTCTACCGACATCAGAATTCAGCCCTGTTGTAACGCGGGAGTTCAGGCCCCCAAAGCCTGATCCGGCGGGAATCCTGCACATTGCGAAAGACTGGATGCACGAAGACGGAGGAAAGAGTTTGATCATGGTCGGCGACTCGATTGACGATATGACGGCGGGTTATCGTGCTGGAGCCGCGACTGTGTTGCTGGTCAACGATGTCAATAAGCATCTTGCTGAGCATCAGCATACTGATCTCGTCGTCAAGCGGCTGGATGATCTCATCAACGTTCTAGAAAATGGATTCGAAGGACGCGTAGAGGCCGACGAAGAGATTGCAGACGCAAAGAAGCAAGTGGAGGAAGCTGTTAGTAAGAGCTGAGGCGCGATACGGAAGAACAAATTCTATCACGATTCTTCACATGGCAACGTGCTCTCACAGCTCCTGCCGGAGTGTTATTGCATCAGTCGCTGCAGCAACTGTGTCGCATTTGTGGAACCACGGCATGTACATACGCAAGCGCAAGCGCAAGCGCGATGCAACAAGACTGACGGGTGATACAGCCTATCATGTCATGCTCACGGTAGTGGGCTACCACGCTGCGGGCACTGTTGACACAAGCGACCTTGTTTTAGGGCTGCTTGCAGGCTGAACTGCAAACAAAGTGCGGCGCAAGCCGCCCGTCGGAACCCCACGTCACTAACCACTCTCGTCTCGACATGTCCGCCAACACCAAGAAGCTCTGACAAGCATTCCTGCGCCGCAGAACATCCAGGACACTTGATCCGAGACTGGCAACCACTCCATATCTCTTTCTGTCCCTGTATGCGTGTCCCATATGCACACATTCAGTTCCCTACGGCCAGATATGGGACCGATCCGCACAATGGCACCGCGTGTTATTATACATATAGCCGGTTCACGCATGCGCCGATCTTCATGCATATGTTAGGCCGATCAGCACCGCCGAATGAGCAGCGATGTCGACTTCGTCCATGACGAGGAGCGTTTTGGAATTATGGCCATGCTCGAAGAGATGGTAAATAAGGAAGGTGCCTGGCGCTGTTCGAACGCGGCACGCTTCTAGAGCCGCAATGACGATCATGTTGTCGAAGCAAGGGCCGCCAGCCATCATGCTGATCCCGGTATCCGCCTGCATATGTACTTGAAACAACTGGGCGGCGGGCGTGTTTATATTGAATGTCTTAATCCCCGTGTCTTGGCAGATCCGACTATAATTGAGCTTGCCGTGGTCTCGATCGCGGTTTCCACCCTCACTCATCACTCTTGTTGCCAAGCTATCAGGGTCCAATCATAACCTCGAGCCCTTGCTTCTTCTGCCTTGTCACTCCCCAATCCACACGACCAGTGTCGCTAGCCAGCATGAGGTATACCGCCACCTTCACGGGCGTACTGGCTGTCGCTGGTGTCAGCGCGTGGTCAGTATCCACTCCTTTCCACATCGAGGGCAACGAGGTGGTTGAACACCTCCATACTGTGCCCGAGGGATGGAGAGAGGTCGGTGCTCCAGCCCCTGAGCATAAGCTGCATTTCCGCATTGCAGTGCGATCGGTGAGTAGTTGCGACAGCAAGCATTCCGGGCCCTCACGCCTTGGAATCATGAATCGAGATGCTGACCACGACAGGCCAATCGCGACCTGTTTGAAAGGACGCTCATGGAGGTTTCAACTCCTAGCCATCCTCGATATGGTCAGCACCTAAAGCGAGACGAACTGAAAAATCTCATCAAACCAAGAGCCGACTCGACTGCGAGTGTGCTTACTTGGCTCGAGCAATCCGGTATCGAAGCGCGAGATATCGAGAATAAGGGAGAGTGGATCAACTTTCTCGCACCTGTGAAGCGCGCCGAGCAGATGATGGGTACCACGTTCAAGACCTACCAGAGTCAAGCGCGTCCTGCACTCAAGAGAACTCGCTCATTGGGGTACTCTGTACCCCTCGAGGTCCGTAGTCATATCGATATGATCCAGCCCACTACTCGCTTCGGTGAGATCCGCCCAGAGTTTAGCCAGGTCCTAACGCAAGACGCCGCTCCTGTCTCGGCACTTGCTGTCAATGCCACATGCAACTCGAGGATCACGCCCGATTGTCTCGCAGATTTGTACAACTTCAAGGACTACGATGTCAGTGACAAGGCCAATGTGACAATTGGAGTGAGCGGCTTCCTCGAGCAGTATGCTCGGTTCAATGATCTCGACCTGTTCATCCAAAGATTTGCTCCCAGTCTTGCGGGTAAAACTTTCGAAGTCCAGTCTGTAAATGGTGAGATACAGTCGTTATTACCTCGTTGTAACCAACTGACGATTTCAGACGGACCGTTCCCTCAGAACTCAACGGCCAACAGCGTGGAGGCTAATCTCGACATACAGTACACAGCAGGTTTGGTGTCGCCCAAGATTTCGACCACCTTCTTCACTGTTCCAGGACGAGGACTTTTGATCCCTGACCTTGATCAACCTGATGAAGATGAAAACAGCAATGAGCCCTATCTAGATCTCTTCACCTATCTCGTTGAGCTTGAGGATGAGGAGTTGCCTCAGGTACTAACGACATCGTACGGTGAGACAGAGCAGAGCGTTCCTGCGGAGTACGCCAAGAAGGTTTGTGATTTGATCGGCCAGCTTGGTACTCGTGGTGTCTCAGTTATCTTCTGTAAGTTTTCTGAGCATTTTCCAATTTGGAGTGTAGCTTCATGAAGATCTGGGGCTATGTGTGCTAATAATACCCAGCCAGCGGTGACACTGGTCCAGGATCTGCCTGCCAGAGCAATGACGGCAAGAACGCTACCCGTCTCCAGCCAATCTTCCCAGCTTCATGTCCTTACGTTACTTCGGTTGGTGGTACTTTCGGAGTGGAACCAGAACGTGCTGTTGAGTTCTCTTCCGGTGGCTTCTCTGATCTCTGGCCACGCCCGTCGTACCAAGAGAAGGCAGTTTCTGACTATCTTGGTAAACTGGGCTCGCAATGGGAAGGTCTATACAACACCAACGGACGAGGCTTCCCAGATGTCGCAGCTCAAGGTAATAAACTCTTTTCTGCAATATATCATATACCTAAAGCTAAATCTTAGAAAGGTCAAGGATTCCAGGTTATTGATAAGCTTCGTCTGTCGTCTGTTGGAGGAACCAGCGCTTCAGCGCCTGTCTTCGCTTCAGTCATTGGACTTCTGAACAACGCTCGTTTAGCAGCTGGTATGCCTTCGTTGGGCTTTTTGAACCCTTGGATCTACGAGCAAGGCTACAAGGGCATGAACGATATTGTCGAGGGAGGCTCGCGTGGATGCACTGGTCGTTCCATTTATTCCGGGCTTCCCACGCGACTTGTGCCTTACGCTTCCTGGAATGCGACCGAAGGCTGGGATCCTGTCACCGGCTACGGTACGCCCGACTTTGAGCAGATGCTTCGCCTGGCAACTGCGCCACAATATGGTGTACGTCGCGTTCGCCGTGGTGCTCTCTGTGGAGAGGCTTGAACCTACAATCACTGTGGATCAGGCGAAAGCCATCGAGTGTTTCCTGGCATATCCAACGCTGGCTGAAAAGGAGGGCTCTATCTAGAAATCGCATTATCGATGAAATCTGATGACCAGGCCAAGAGAATAATGTTGAACTGCTGACAATCATAATGCGTGAAGCGTTCTGCTTGTGTGAGAGTGCTGCCTTTTTCCGGATGCGCCACGACTCCGTCTGCCGCGCGAACACCAACGCCAATGCTGACATTTTCGTCAACTCTGAATGCACCACATACCACGTACCCGCCATCCTCTTTCCTCAATTTGTCGCCCGAAACGCATTGAACCGGACGTAGAGGCCTGCAGACTCGAGTGACCACATTGTTTTCGTCACGTTAGAGCGCCACAGCAACAATTTTCACAGCTGCCGTATACGGTTAATGCGCGCAACACTTATCTGCGCCGAAGGCATGACAAGCATCCGCCATGGTGCTTGATCCTTCGATCTTTGTAGGGGGGCGATATTTTTCCAAGGCGAATCTCAACCAGTAATGAAGCTCGACGATCCCTCCCTCTAGTACGCAGCGGCGCGCACTGAGCCTACCGTGGCCCCGGATTACGGCTTGCATGCTTGTATCGTAGAGATAAGAGTTGGCATCCGACAAGCCCGAAGGGATAGTTTCCCGTCTGCGTCCACTCTGTAAGAAATACGAGGTGGGCCTACCAGTGCTTGATCGCACTGGCGGCGTCGCCGGCGGGGCTTGGAGAATGCTTTGCGCCGTTAGCTCCGGTCCGCCACTGTGGTCGTGTATCTAGGAGCATGCATTCCCCGCCTATCGCGGTCGTACCTGGACGATATTACCGACGTCATGAAGTAATGCCGCAGTCTTGGGAGTCAACAACCATCGCGTTGCCTTCAACCTTCAGCTACGTTAATCCGCGATGGTGCGCAAGCAAGTATCCTTGCGTAGGACATATCGCACGAGCAGCTACGCACGCGAGAATGTTGGCCTGGTATGCTTCGGGTAATCATCAACATGCGACTTAAATCTCGCCTGCCTAATCAGGTAAAGAGCTGAAGCTATGTTCGCCATGAGCTATCTGTGTTTGTCCAGGTACAGGAAGACATATGCCGCGTCGCGGGCAGAGTAGCGCCGGGTGACGTCGGTCTCACGCTCCATACTTTTACTTCAAGAAGGCCCAGTTGCCCACACGGTTTCTTCATCACGGTCCCTGATAGTCACAGCACGAGCTTGACTTCCAACTAATCCCGGCACTGCGATCGCGAAGATGCAGCTTCTTTCACTCCTCGCTGTTGGTGGCCTCACAGCCAGTGTTTCTGCCCGAAGCGCTCGCTCTGTTGGCAAAAAGAATGAGCTCCCTCGTCCTCGTTTGACTGTTCCAGAATCGAGCCTTCATCCCCACAAGCGCCAGAGCACTCAGATCATCACTACCGAGGCCTCCAAGTGTATGTTGTGCATTACCTTTCTTTCAACACCAGCTAACACCTGCCAGCTTTCGCTGTCAATGGGACTGCAGGAGCAATCCCCGACGTCGATTTTGACATTGGCGAGTCTTACGCTGGTCTTTTACCTATCAGCAAAGCTGCTAATGAGACTTCTGAACTGTACTTCTGGTTCTTCCCATCCGAGAACCCTGATGCGAGTGACGAGATCACCATCTGGCTGAACGGTGGTCCAGGTTGCTCATCTCTTGAAGGGTTTCTTCAAGAGAATGGACCGATCTCATGGCAGTACGGTTCCGGACCAGCCGCTGTTTACAACCCCTGGAATTGGGTACGTTAATATTATGGTTTCTACTCTCTTTGCATTTACTGACTTTCCCAGGCAAACCTCACCAACATGGTTTGGGTTGAGCAGCCAGTGGGAACTGGATTCACCCAAGGCAATGCTACTGCCACCTCTCAGGAGGAGACCGCTGAGGAGTTCCTTGGCTTCTTCAAGAACTTTGTTGATACATTCGGTCTGCAGAACCGCAAGGTGTACATCACTGGCGAGTCATACGCTGGACGCTACGTCCCTTACATCGCGGATGCCATGTTGAGCAAAAACGACTCTACCTACTACGATGTGAAGGGTATCATGTTTTACGACCCCAGTGTAGCTGAGGATGTTCTTCTTGAGGATATTCCCGCAGTTGCCTTTGTCGACAAATGGGCTGGTCTTTTCAACTTTAACCAGACCTTCATGGACGATATCCATAACCGCTCTGAGGCCTGCGGCTACGCCGAGTACATGGAGAAGTACCTGACCTTCCCCCCGCCCAGTAAGCTCCCATACCCGGACATGGATGCCAACACCGAAGGCTGCGGACTGTGGGAAGACATCTACAACGCCGTCTTCTACACCAATCCTTGCTTCGACGTATACGCCATTGCCACCACCTGCCCTCTTCTCTGGGACCCTCTCGGCTTCCCCGGCTCCTTCGACTACCTTCCTCCTAACACGGAAATCTACTTCAACCGTACCGAAGTACAAGCTGCCATCAATGCGCCCATCCAGCCCTGGGCAGAGTGCTCTAACGGCGTCCTCGACACTGACACATCTCCCCAATCTTCCTGGGAGGTTATCCCCCGCGTCATCGACGCCCTAGATCGCACCGTCATTGCACACGGCGAGCTCGACTACATCCTCCTCTACAACGGTACCTTAATGGCTATTCAAAACATGACCTGGGGCGGCATGCAAGGTTTCCAGAACCCGCCTGTCGATGACTTCTATGTGCCCTACCATGACGACCTGAGCTTGACTAGCTTGAGCGCAAAGGGCCTTATGGGAAAGACAATTACAGAGAGGAAGTTGACATTCGTCCAACAGGCTATGAGTGGGCATATGGTGCCGCAGTATCAGCCTAGCAGTGCGTACCGTCAGCTCGAGTTCTTGCTGGGCCGCATTGAGAGCTTGACATCCAGGGAGCCTTTCACCACTCTTCCCAAGACCCCTCAGAGTAACGAGACCAGCATCGTTGGAAAGCGAGATCTGGGTGTTATGCCCGGACAACTGAAGAAGTGGTTCTAGACCATTCCTCTGATGTCACGCAATGAATACGATGTAATGTGTAACTCATAAAGTACAAACCATCTCTTTGGTATCTCCTCTTTTCTTCGTGATGTTTGTGTATTATTAACCCGCAACGTTCTCCGCTACCCTCCTACCATCTCTACCCAGCACGCCCTCCTGCCGCTCTGCCCTATTCTCCGGTACCTCGGCAAAGATCTTTGTAATAGCCTCTATCGTGGTGTTGCCTCCACTAAACACAACACCAATGTTCCAAGTCTTGTCCGCAGCCTCCCTCTGCACCATATTCCTGAAATCCTCGTTGTACAATATAGTTGCCAGCCCAACGACGGCACTCGGCTCAACGAAACACTTCATCCTCTCCAGGACGAGTTTCATGGCATCTTTAATGTTCTGCTCCGTGACGGCGTATAGGGCCTGCACGTAGTCTTTGTTCGAGATGATGTTCCACGTGTGATGGCCGAGGGGTGTGCGAAGTCCATCTGCGATGGTCAAGGTCTTGACGCTGGTGACACGTTCACCCGCTTCAACGCCTCTCCTCGCATCGTCACCACCTTGAAAACTGGGTTCCGCGCCAAAAACACGTACGCCAGTGCCGTGCAGTGCGACTGCGATGCCACTTAGCATGCCGCCGCCACCACAGGGCGCTATGACGGCATCGAGTTTCTCACCACTTGCAAGCAGCTTATCTACTTGGTCTTGTATCTCCAGCGCCATTGTGCCTTGACCGAGGATGATGTGAGGATGGTCGTATGGTGGAATTAGGGTAGCGCCTGTGTCCTTGATTACGTCTGCAACGACAGCCTCGCGTTCGGTGCTCGTGGAGCCGGAGAAATGTATATTGGCATTCTGGGCGCGGGTCCCGGCTATCTTGGAGGGCGTGGAGATAGAGGGCATGACGATGTGGGCGGGGATGGAGAAGGTCTTTGCAGCAAGCGCAAGGGCCTGCGCGTGGTTTCCTGGTGTTGATGTTAGCCATGCCGCCGAGCCCCCTTGGGACGTGGTTGTAGATGTACCACTGCTATGTGTGACTACTCCCTTCCTCTGCACTTGCTCCAGCCCTTCTTTCTCAATCAATCGCGTTACGGCATGGAAGGCTCCGCGTACTTTGAACGCGCCAATGCGCTGCAAATTCTCGCACTTGAAAAAGAGCTTCACCCTCGGGTGCGCGGGCTCGTGGCCCTCCCATTCTGTTCCTTGCAGGGCTTCGGGTGCTTGACGAGTATTGGCGATGTTGGTCAAGGTGGTGTTGGTCAAGACGGGCGTGTCGTGGATGTGCGGTTTGATAAGGGCGTGGGCGGCTTCGACCGAGGCGCGCGTCAGGGAGGCAGGCGGTGCTGGAGAGGACATTGTCGCCGCTGGGGAGGAGGAGCGCAACGAAAGGAGCGCATGCTGGGGAGCATCGTACAAGACGTGACTCAACGGAGAAAGAAAGAGCGATATGGTGGGGAAAGCCGGCGTGTGGAGGATGGCGTGGGGAAAGTTCCCGCGAGTCATGTTGCGGCAGCCCAGAGATCAACCTTGGAATTCTCCGAGCATCTGTGCTATGACAAAAGGCCAGCTAGGAAAACACAAACAAAGGAAGCAGCCAACCCTTCGCGTGATGATGTCCTTGATGTGCTGGTAGAACATAGAAGAAACTTTTGGGGAGAAGGCAGCCACAAAAACGAGAGAGCTGCTTCCAAGATACTGCAAGCATCGATGAACTCTGATGCTCTGCACTACGAGCTCTAGAAGCTGTTGATACCTTCGTCGTCGCGAGGCATGGGCGATGCGAGTAATTCAACGTCCATGGCGTGCCGCGCCTGGCCCTACTCGAACCTGACGCACGGAAATATCACAACGGACCGTCAACGCTCGCATACGAGCACGCAAGATCTTGGATAAAGATGTAGCGACGGTGTGGAGACGATCGTTCAGCCATATTACACGTGAGTCTTCAGATATGCAACTGGGACCAAACTAACGAACATAGGGATGCGGCAAAAGAGATCTAAGAACAGATTATTAGTTGCCAACGATAACCCGAGCAAGAGAAGCCACACATGAACGGTAAGCCGATGTGCTAGGGATTGGGTCTAGTGAGCCGTATATTCCCAAGTATTGCAAGAATAGCGGCGCAGGAAAATGCAGCGGCCTGTGCCGGTTGCTACGGAAAAGCGTCAGTAAATAGCATAGTTCGTACCGCATGCCGATGGAGCACGACGATACTGTGATGCGATACTGTGAGAGACAGAGTAGTAAGCTGAGGGTTGCGAAGTATGGACATGTTGTTGCCGTAGGAACGATCGAAGGGCAGCTACGATGGGAAACAGGCCGTGCAAGTGGGTAATTCTACGTAGGCTCGTGCACATAAGTGCTGCCATCGCGATTTCACAACGCAGTTTGACTCTTGCGAAACTCTACAGAGTTCGTGTGAATAGGTTATGTGACTGTCTTGATGGAGTGGTTGCACCACGAAAGTTCCGAGCTCGGATTTTTCAAAGCGTCTGTGCACGCTAGCATGTTCATTTCCGCTGCCAGTCATATTCCATTGTTCCCAGCCATCTCATACAACCTTGGCAACGATCCATCGCTTTCCATGCACGAATTCGACAGATAAATCTTGATGTGCTATGACCAAGAGGTCCCATGCCAGTATAGCCTCCTCGCAAGCAGAGCACTCGGAACGACAGGCATCCTATGATGGTGAGCGCAGCGGAAGCCATGAGGACGGGGACGGCTCGATTCTGAAAAAGCCACGGTCATTCATGGCTACACTGGTATGTGGTTATTAAAAAAAGAGACACGAGAGTGATTTTCTGACTAGAATAGGCTTGCGACATTTGCAGATCAAGAAAGACTCGCTGTGATGAAGATCGACCAAGATGCGGTTACTGCAGGAACATGAATTTAGAGTGCACTTATCAGGCACCGCGAAATACGAAGAAAGATCAATCTTTAACATTAGCCATCAATGCCATTCGGAGGCTGGAAGTAAAGATCGAAGATCTGACGACGGCAATTAATACTCCCAAGCCTTCGTCTGCTATTCCACTCTCACCAGCAGGACCTATCAATGGCCACCAATCACCTCATACCCTGTTCTCACAACCCAGTCCAGGATATCATGTCTCAACGATACCATCTCATCACTCCCAGAACGGTAAAATGAGTATACACGAGTTGGCAATGTCGCCACAAGTTGTGGGAACTCCTGTCAAAAGTCCTTTCCCGGTCATAGAAGTCCAAGGTGCTGTGGATCTTTCCTTCAGTCAGCATCGTGTCGCGCTCTGGCCGGCCATACAACAGATTCTCCCCACTGGATTTGTCTCTGTTCGAGCAGAGCTTCCAGAGGACTACATAGTCGACATCGAGAATCGAAGAGCGCAGTTACCGATACACATCGATCGTCCATACGGCACCGCCCCGGAAAGTTGGCTGATGAGCCTTCCACAGTCGGCAGTGAAAGGACTTGCGGATGCGTACTTTGCCGTTTTTCATCGCAACATGCCAATCCTTGACAAGTATCATTTCTTCTCAAATACGCTAGGCACAGCTATGGAGAACGAATTCGGGTATGATGTTGAAACTGCGCTAGTGCTCAACGTGCTCGCATTGGGTTGCCTAGCTGTCAAAGCTCATGAGGAAGGGGACTTCGCTCTTCCTTCGCGTCACTCTGCAGCCAGACCTGGCTTTGAACACCCAGACTGGTACGAACTTGTTGCAGATGACCCACCCGGCCTTAAGTTTTTCAACGAAGCGAGACACCGATTCGGTTTTCTCATGTGCGAGAATGATATACAAGCGGGTCAATTCTACATGCTTTCGACGCTCTACTATGCCCAGATCCTGCGACCTTTCGATTCATGGACCACCGTGAATCGGGCAGCCCTCTGCTGCGCTAGCATTCTTACCCGTTCGGGGGCAGTCGACTACGATACATGGGAAGGTGACATGCTATCGCGCCTCTTCTGGTGTACTCTGATGTACGAAACTGTCATTATACAGGAACTCGACTTACTTCCACATAGTGGACTATTGGACTATGAGCCAGATACGCCTCTACCAAAGTTTACCCAATGCCCACGGCCAAAGACTTCTATATCAGGATTGCTCACTGATGAAGACGATTCTTTCTTCAATTTCCACTTCCTCGCTCAGGCCGCTCATCGCATTATTCTGACACGCGTGAAGCAGAGTTTGTACACGTTTGCTGAAAAGGACAGCTACCCCAGCGCCAGCTTAACAGCCGAAATGCATCACCAACTCGAGCAATGGCGCGCAAACCTCCCGCCGTCTCTTCAATTCTTGGACAATGACAACGCCAGTGACTCTCCCAGCCCCGCACATGTTATCGCGAAAGCCATGCTACGAAGCCGCTACCTCGTCGCAAAATTCCACATCGGCCGCCCATTTCTTTACAAAGCGCTGCACGCGCCAGCATACACCAGTGATGCAGAGTACGACGAAGTGCGCGAGGGCCTTCGAGGGGGCATGTACTGGCCGACTACCATGGGGCTTTGCACCCAGATGTTATCGGCTCTACCAATCAAATTTGGATGGTGTTGTCAGTGCTTCGGACAGGTGCTATTGTTTCACGCCGTAGCGCGGTCGCCAGACCCAAAGTTGCAAGAAACGCTGCCGGAGGGATGGCGCGAGTGGGTAAGCATCATGATGACACTTATCGAGAGCTGTGCGAGGAATAGTCCTGGTATCGCAAAAGACTACGAGCTATTGCGCTTGCTGGATGCCTAACCTTCCGAGTGCAGCTTGAACACCTTTGCGACGCCCTACAGATTGCGACGGCGACGCTAGAGTACTCTGAAGGTATACAGGCCCTGTTATTACAATCTAACACAAGTTTGGATGAGACCCTGCATTACCCTGCCATACGTAACACAGTACCACAGATTCTCGAGCCTTGCTTCCAACACACATGTCCTGACCAAGTTTCCGCAATCAAGAGACGACTAATCACTCATTTAGTAAAGAGCCAAGAGCGAGCAACACGAGATGAAGAAAGATACGATAAGGCATTTTCAAGCATGCATCTTTTCTTGTGTTTCGAGTGATGGTGATGTTTCCGCACCGCCGCTTCAGCGTCGATCCTGCCATCTATAGCCGAGTACGAGAGGCTTGCGTGTACAAAGTAGCTAATAAGCTGACTACCACAAAGGCGCATGCGATGTCGACTGATCTAATCTAGCTCGAATCAACACTCAACAGATGGTCAGTTGGGGGCGCAGCTTCTCAGTGCTCTTGCCATTCGCATCCCAATCTTTGTCCATCGCAATTCCATGTGGATCGCTGGATGACATGGCACAGCCACAGGTTGCGCATCCCAGATCGCGTTTCAGACTTTCAGCCCCTTCCGGCGCGGCAGCTAAGCCGTATGCAGTCGGTGATGGCCCCTGCATTGCTTAGGGATGGAAACAAGGATCTACCAACTTGGGTCTGACACAACTGCCACTAAACTGGGGGCGTCGGCCACCTCCTTTGATGGAGAGGGACACTTAACTTTCCATCTTACCTTTCTTCTTGCTCCTTTTTAGCACCTGGCGCAGCGCTTTTTGGTAATTCGCATACGTTGTCGTCTTCTGTTCACGCCACCTCGTTTTTGTGCAGTAGACTCTGCGACGCACGCTCCAGTTGTTGGGATTCACGATTTCTGGGGGACTCGCGAGAGAAGACTGGACTTGGATGCAGAGGACCGAGGACTGCGATTCTGGACTCGTACGCGCAGGCGAACTTGGGTCATCCTAGGCTTCTGACCCCCAGAGCGTGAACCGCGACAATGGCCGACTACACATACCAATCGCTGGCCAACATGGGGCCACAAGGGCGATGGCGACGTGTTTTATTGACCGCTATGATACCCATGGCGCTGGCTTTGGTTTACTTCAGCTATCCTTCTGCATACGTCCCGAGCAGCCTTCGGTCACAGTACGTTTGGAATACCCTCGCATAAAGGCGTGCCTAACAAAATCACCACAGGTACCCACACACGCAAAATGTCTCTCTACCCAAAGATGACGTCTCGATGGCGACAATAATAAAAGCCCTCTACGGTCCGATATTACACCCCATCGACGCCGCCAACTTTACCGACGAAGATGGAGACATATACAGACTATCCGGGGAACCAAAATTCAAGAGCAAGCTAGGCAAGAAGGTGCTTATATTGGACATTGATAGCCGACCGTTGACGGATAAGGGTCAGCTTATGGACCCGCATTTGAAGTGGAAGGGCATGCGCTCGTTAAGTGCTGGCATGCTGGGGCATTACATGTTCGGTACGTTGCCACGACACATGGCAGGTCGCCAACGACAGTTCTGGCACGTGGAGCGACTCGGCTAACATGCAGCAGCACAAATACACGGTTACGATTACAAGTTCATTCGCGCACCCGATTACGCCGACCGGTGGGGCACATGGGTCAAGGTTCCAATGATGAAGGAAGCGCTCAAGACCCATGAATACATTGTCTTCATGGACTCAGACGTCATGTTCCACTACCCCCACCTGCCTCTCGAGTGGCTGCTCAACTACTGGAACATGACCGACGATACCCTTGCCATGATGTCTATCGACCCAAACGAGCCGCAGAACTACGATGCGAAGGGCAACCGATACCTCAATACCGGATTCGTCATCGCACGACAGAGCAAGAGGACACAAGAGATGTACAAGGCCTGGGCGGAATGCCCTTCTGAGACCAAGTACAAGGGCTGCGCGCGTTGGAAGACGGATTGGGCGCACGAACAAGCCGCCTTTGGAAATTATCTTCGATATGACTACGACCGACCGGACGATATCCGTGTTCTCCCTTGCGTCGAAGCCAATGGGGCACCCGAGGCTGCGAACCGGGGTGGTTGCAAGGGCGTTTTTGTACGACATTTCTGGGTCGACAAAGGCCTTGTAGCTAAGAACCTGGCGGACAGCGTCATGCAGTACTTCCTACCGCGATTGCACGAGGCGTACCTGGGCTCAGCGAGTGAGCACATCGTGGATGCAAAGGGGTTCAAGCTTGAAGGTGCGGAGCTGATTGAGATGACCGAAGAGGAAAAGGCCGCTGCCAAGAAAGGGAAGGGTAAGAACCAGAAGGACGAAGGATGGTAGGGCAACTTCGAATTAAGCGAGAGTCTCTAGGCCTTACCCAAGATACCTACATTCGGCGCACGCGCATCTCAACCTGCTTCACCAATCTCGGAACCATCCCATGCACGATCCTCATATAGCCGTCATCTACGCCAATTTTGTATCAGGCGGGTCTCTCATGTCGGCGTCCATCGGCGTCTCATGTCTTATCATTACGTTCTTGTATAGAAAATCTCTTCAGCATGTTTTATCGTCATATTAGACTTGGGTGGGACGGACTCAAAAGAGGGGTTCCTTGATTCATGTAGGAGCGTCTTTAGGTACGATTAGCCGATTCAAATACCAATCCTTCACATTTTCGAATCCAGCGCACCTTCTACTTTTGCATTCGTAGTGAAAGTACATCAGCGTGACCGACCAAGCAAAGTGAGACTAAGCTACCATGGCGATCAATGCTAGCGAAGCAGCAACAGCGAAGATGAAACTCCCAGAGGAGAAAGTGATGCAGGAAGTACAGGTTATAAGATAAGCTCTAGTCAACGACTTTGCCGCGCTGGTACAGCTATATACAAAGGATACAGACCAGAAAGAGGCTATCGCAACTGCTTCCCCAAAGTTTCCAAAATCAGTATGAATGAAAGAATTCGGAGAGACACCGACATATTGGTTAGTAATACGATGGAAATAGAGCAGTACTTATTGTTTCCTTTCCACCTGACCGTCTCTGAACGTTTTTCGTATGCCGTGGCTCGGCACAATTCTCTTGGAAAGAACATTTCACTGCGTCTAGCTGCCACAAAGTCGTTATCTTGCGCGAATGAAGATTGCATTAGTGCTTAATCTCAGGTATCGGAAGTTTAGGCAGGCCAGTGATGGATGGGAAGTAACTTCTGTTCCTCTGTTATAGCACGTTTCGTTTGCTTCGACTGTCGACTTAGACTTCATGCTCAATATCCGCGACCCTTGGTACCTTGTGCAGTCGTAAGCCACAGAAATTGGCGACAAGCTCGATCTGTGCCAGGTCAGTATGGCCTATGAAGCACGAATTAATTGCTGTCTTACGCATTGTTGGATCGTCTCAACGTCATCTCTGCTAACGCCAATGCGCCTGGTGCCGCGTAAATGCCAGGCGGTTTCTCTGGGTAGATTCTGAATCATGATGCCGCTGAGTACAGTGAGCTCGGTCTCAACGTCATTGAGAATGCTGTGATCGGACAGATAGAGTCCGTAGGTAATTTGCTTGCTCGTCCAATCTACGCTTCGTCAGCATAAGACTACAGAATGGCTAGACATTCACATGCCAAAATCCTTCTGTGAAGCTAACACATTATCGATGCCTTCTTGGTTGTGCTGGTACAAGCGACCTTGCCATGCTGCACCACGTTTTGAGTTCGCCTCATCACATTGCCATCCTTCTCTGCCCTGCTGTCAGTTTTCACATTTGCGTGCTGATTGTTTCTGATCCTATACCTTGAGAATGTATAGTCCTTGTCCTCTGGCTTGGTAATTGCATCGATGTCGAAGATGGCTTCCAGTGGCTTGCACACACCCACAATGACGATGAGCTTGAACAGTGTCTCGCGTATTCTTCGCATCAAAGCCTGGCGGTGTTCGGGTGTCTGGTATTCAGGTCGCTTGATAAGCTCCTTGTAGAGCAGGGGCGCGAAGCCGGGCTGTCCGCCGCCAACGATTGACGCAAGCTACAAAGAGTTAATCACTGCTCTTGTATGTGTAAAGAGGATGATCCCATACCAGAAGGACATACCACTTGTCACCTCCAAGTGACCTTGAAGGAAACTTCTCCTCTACCGTCTTGAACAAGGCAAGAGCCTCGTCATCAGTTGGGTCGCGGGGTATTGGGATCGTACTAGTCGACATAATGACTCTCTTATTATCACGGGGGGAGTCTGGAGTAGCGGCACAACAACGCACTTCTCGGGACATCTGCTGACTGTCGTCATTGCATCTTCCGATTGTCGGGATGGTGAAGCGCGTACAAGGACCGATCGCGGCTGCGACGCGTCTTCAAGCTTCGGCGCGCGTCGCTCTAAAGCAGGCATGCGGGGTAGACATACCCAGGTACCCTCCACCACCACCATACTTTACGGAGAGGCTCATCTCTCCCCGAAACTGGCATGTCCGCTTGCAAAAATCAACTGGGTTTCTAGGTAGATGCAGCATGTAAGCAGCAACCTGGGAAAGTCTACTTGGAGTTGATCCGGAGCACCATCACGGAGCACCGTCTCCATCGACCCCAATTGTCAAAAGCTTTTCTCCTCTTTTACATACGATTACTCATTTGAAAGCAGAAGCAAAACCCTGAGTACGACCCGGAAGCATGTCTAGTACCAATTCGTGCCACTACCTGCCTAATGGCAGGCCCAAAACCGTCATAATCACAGGCAGCGCCAATGGCATTGGTGCGAAAACAGCTCGTACCTACCATGAACATGGTTGTAATATCGTCGTAGCCGATCTTGCTTCCTCCAGCAAGGCAGCCAATGCTCTTGTCTCATCTCTACCTGAACCATCACGAGCCTTTTATCACCCCACTAACATTGTTAGTTGGAGCGACATGCAAAACCTGTTTCAGGAGACAAAGAAGACATTTGGTCAAGTGGATATCGTCGTTGCGAATGCAGGGCTGATGGAAAGCAAAGGTTTCTTCGACTTTGAAGAGGACGAGCAAGGAGAACTAATGGAGTCGGTTGAAGCTGGCAAGATCATCGATGTTAATCTGAAAGGCACTATGAATAGTGAGCCATTGAATCACGCATTCCTTCCAGGCCTGTCTCTGATACCAAGTAGCTCTCCGGATGGCTATGCACTCGATGAAATCGAACCCACTAGACTTGGACGGTGCACGAGGCTCGATCGTACTCATAGCCTCAACGTCCGGGTACTTCGGTGGAACTGGCGTAGTCTCATATGTCTCTTCCAAGCATGGCGTAGTAGGTTTAGCGCGAGCCTCACAGACTGTTGCTCAGCAGCTCAGCATCCGAGTCAATGTCGTAGCACCCTTCTTCACCCCTACGCACATTACCTCAGGTTACTCAGAGAAGTGGAAGGACTATGGTTTGCCAGCAAATACAACTGCAGATGTAGCTAATGCTATTGTGACTACAAGTATGCACCCTGAGAGACAGGGCCATAGCATGATGGTGAGTCCACAATAACGTCGTAGGCAGTTGCCCTGTGGAAAAAGTAGTGCTGATATCAGTTTCCAGGTCGCAGGCAACTTGGTGAGAGAGATTGAAGTGGCAAGAACAAGCGCAACAAAAGATTGGCTAGGAGTGGAGATATTTGACATTATGACAAGAGGCGGCAAGTTCTTCAACGACCTGGGCGGCTATACACTGCCTAAAGCACGGTCCTAAAATCTCTCACTACATTATTTCACACCCAAGTAGTATAGCGAAAGCTCGCTACATGCAAGCTCGAGTGGCTTCTTCTGACGACGTTGCACAGTAGCGGCGAAAGCATTGCTATGAGAGCCTATCATGTAAAAGTAGAGCGAGAACATGGCAGCTTTGCATGTCACATGTTGTGTTGAATTGCATCGATCATGGTGCGAAATTTTACGCATGGAACGGTTGAAATACTATTGGGTGATGTGTAGGAGTAATAGACTTGACGAGCCGATCACAGGGTTCATTTCGGCTTAGTAATCCAGGAGCTTTGGCCCGGTGACGTTTTCCACAGCCCTCGGTATCGCCCACCTTGTACAATCTGTCTAAACGTCAATTGAGGCCTCACGACGGACTGTTTGCACCATGGCATCTTCAAGACTAGTTGCTCGCTCGACGCGCGCCCTCTTGTCCCTCCAGCGCACCCAATGCCGTACTTTCAGCATCTCCACTATCCGCCACAATGAGTTTGAAGCTCTCAACAAGCGCACCAACGACACCTCCGAGACGTACCGCAAATACCAAATCGAGAGGCCGCTGAACCCTCACCTTACCAACACTACCTCTACTATTGCCAATGAGATGCCTTCGATTGGCGAAGACGCTGCCCCGCCCGAATTGATCACCAATGCCGACAGCAAATTCACACCTAAAGACTCTGTGCCTGAGAACACTACGCGCATGACGGGCGGAACACAGGGCAGCAAGGACCAGGACGTCAGCGGGGCAAATAGCGAACTAGGTGTTGGCGAGATGGAAGGCGCCAAGTTCAAGGTCGAGCCTATCCGCAGGACTGGAGAAGACCCCAACACTATGCGTGCGAGGTTATTATGTCCGTTCATACATTGCCCATCTCCTATTCCCTACCGCATATACAACATCTGTATCTGGACGAAGCATGGCTAACGTGTAATTAGATCAGAGCCGCAAGAGGGGAACCCTAGAAAGTGATCTCCTTCTCAGCACCTTCGCCGACGCCCACCTAAGCACCATGTCTCCTTCATTGATGCAGCAGTACGACACTTTCCTCGACGAAAACGACTGGGATATTTACTACTGGGCAACTCAAGAGCCCACACCCACGTCTCACGAGACAGCCGAGGGTGGTGGCTCTGCAATGTCTACCGCCAACGCACAGGGCATGGATGCGACGGCACAGACGAAGTTGCCTGAGAAGGACGAGCGTAAGAGACAACCTGGAGAGGGTGAATGGGCGCAGACGGTCGGCACTTTCAAGCCTGCGTATAGGCCTGTGCCTAGCAGGTGGAAGGGCAGTGAAATTCTGAGCTTGCTCCGGAGGCATGTCAACGAGCGTAAGGCAGGAGGTGTCATCGAGGGCGAGGGTAAAACACAACAGGAAGGCAAGGGTCTGGGCATGATGCCCGACATCAAGAACTTCGATCAGTAAAGCTACCATCCCACTTTTGTTCACCTTGTCCTGTAGGTTTACTGTATAGATAATACTCTTAGCCGTCCTTTCATGTCCTGTATATCTCTCAATTGTTTCACCCACAGGCCATCTCTGCACTTCTTCCGGGATCCTTGCTGCCATGCTCTCTCTCTCTCTCTCTTTTTTTTTTCTTACCACAACGTACATTGCGCAAACGAGACACCACATAATTACTAGCCTGTATTTCCTCTTGAGTTACTTGATCCGGAACTCATTTCCTCCGTTTACGCATTCCCGCACCAACTCCCACGTGTTCCGCGGCAATTCTAGTTAGATTTCCCCGGAGCTTTATGCCATTACCCCGGTTCAATTGCCCCACACGGCAAAGCTCGCTTCGGCATTTCATATGTTTCGAAACTACGCCTGGTATACCGGCACCGGCTATCATTGGAGGAAGTACTATTTCTCACTCTTCTAGACTGATCATTCGGTGTCACGTTCGAATGCAAATGGCTGACGGTGTAAATTGAAGGGGATGTGTTGCCGCATGCAGAGGTCTGTCCGCCATTCTCAAACGTTGCTCTTCAGTGACGGGTTATATGATGAGTGCTGGTATATAGCTGCTGGTTCTTGGGTGGTTGAGAAGCATCCCATCTTCAGCATCGACCATCCTCGTTCGCGATGCGGTTTACGTCTCTTCTCCTCTTCGCCAGTGCGGCACTCGCGGCCCTGCCCTACAAAGGCGCAGATTGGTCTTCCCTTCTTATCGAGGAAGCAGCCGGCAAAAAGTACAAAAACGCGGCTGGTACGGTCCAGCCCCTTGAGACCATTCTCAAAAACAGCGGCGTAAACACTGTTCGCCAACGCATATGGGTAAACCCCTCAGATGGAAACTACAACCTCGATTACAACCTCAAACTTGCCAAACGCGCGAAAGCGGCCGGTTTAGGCATTTACCTTGACTTCCACTACAGCGACAACTGGGCCGACCCAGGCAAACAAGTCGTACCAGCAGCGTGGAAATCGCTAAATCGCGAGGCCCTCATCAAGCAGGTATACGACTACACCAAGAACGTGATCAATACCTTCTCCACCAACGGCATCACCCTCAACCTCGTAAGCATCGGCAACGAAATCACACCCGGCCTCTTGTTCCCTATCGGTCAACTCTCTGGCACCGATGGACCGAAGAACGTTGCCGCGCTACTTAAATCAGCATCCAAAGCCATCAAAGAGTCCTCCATGAGCCCCAGACCCAAGATCATGATCCATCTAGACAATGGCTGGAACTGGGAGACACAGCAGTGGTGGTACGACCTCGTGCTAGGATCAGGTGGTGGGCTGTCGGCCGCAGACTATGATGTCCAGGGTGTATCCTACTACCCCTTCTACAACAGCGCTGCTACGCTATCTGCGCTCAGCACAAGCTTGAACAATATGGCGAAAAAGTATGGCAAGGAGGTCATGGTTGTTGAGACGAATTGGCCGAGTTACTGCCCTAACCCATCAACTGCTTTCCCTGCGGATGTGAAGAGCATTCCAATCAGTGTAGATGGCCAGACGCAGTGGATGAAGGAGGTTGCGAAGCGTGTGGCTGCTGTTCCAAACGGTAAGGGTACAGGTCTTTTCTACTGGGAGCCAGCCTGGATTGAAAACCCAGGGCTGGGTAGCAGCTGTGGGTGGAACCTCATGGTTGGGGATGACGGCAAGGTCATGAGTAGTCTGGCCGTTTTCGGCAGCATCTGAGCGACCATTTTCTGTCGCTTCAAAACTGTAAATATTGCACGCGTTAGCACATCAGCAAGGCTATATCAGAAACATTAAACAAACTCCAAAGTGCTCGCGTGTGATCGCAGCTCACCCACGTATCAATATGAACGAGTCGAACAAAAAACACATGAAAGTGAAAAGTATTAAAGAGCAATGACAATGATCAGAACACATTTCGGGTGGTCAAGCCATCTTTGATGTTTGGGTGGTTTCATTGAGTACATAGCAGTGAAGCAGTGCAGACTCCTTTCCTTCCCTAGTCAAAAAAGCAGCCCAGTCCATTCCGAATGTGCAAAGGAAGATGTGTCAGGGTTCGTGATGGCATCATATCCTTCCGCTAAATGCCTTTTCGTAACCTCATTGCGCCCGCAGCAAATGATCAACCTACTGCTCCTCAGAGTAACCCTCACCACCAGCTGGCTGGGCCTCGCCCTCGCCCTGCTCGGCCTGCCTGGCCTGCTCTGCGGCTTGCTGAGCAGCGATGGCCTTGGCGCCGTAGTCTTGCGACATGGGCTGGACAACAGGCTGCTCCTCCTTGGGCTCGATGATGGTGACGGAGTCGGGAAGAGTCTTGGATGGGCCGGCCTTGCCCTCGGGGTCGGAGCCGCGCATGATCTTAACCTTGATACCGAGGACACCCTGGCGGAGCAGGACGTGGCGGGTAGCGTGGTCAATGAAGTCCTTAGCGGGCTGACCGGAGTGGATCATGAAACCGTCCTATATGACGTTAGTATGCCAATTCCTACTGCATCCCATGTGCGTATGCCTACAGTGAACTTCATGCTCTTGGCACGGGCGGCCCTGAGCTTTCCGGAAACAACGACCTCGCAACCCTTAGCACCAGACTCCATGATGAACCTCAGGACACCGTAGCAAGCCCTTCGGACGGCCAGACCATTGAGAAGCTTGTATCGGAGGGACTCGCACTGGGCGACGGCGGAGAGACCACGGTTCTGGACCTTGGCGGCGTAGAGGGAGACGGAGTTCTCGGGGAACTTGAATCGCTTCTGGATGAGCGAGGTGAGCTCACGGATGCGGCGACCCTGCTCTCCAAGAACCTCCTGGGTGTGTGTGGCGCGGATGATGATGTCGGTGACAGTGGGGGTGACGCGGACCTCGACGCCGGAGTAGCCCTCCTCGGCCAGCTCGCGCTGGAAGAACTCGTTCAGCTCGGCGTAGAAGACACCGTCTGTAGGAGGTGATGTTAGCGACCGGTCTGTCTGTGTGCACAATGCCCCTCATATCTCGCATTCGACGTCTTGAGCCTCGTGGGTTCTATGCCACGCCGCAATGACCCAAGATGCCCATCTCTTGCGTGCTCCGTCTTCTACTTGTAGGGAGGGTATATCGTACCAGCAACGAACTTTCTCCTCTTGGAGCTGCAGGTCGTCAGTACCCATTCCCAGTTGCGCGTTTTTGCCATGCGATGGCGTGCAGGTAAACTCACATTGCGGTTTGAGTGGTGGCCATTTTGTCGAACTGTGGAAGGGCGTATCTGAACTCCGGGCGTGGGTGTTCAGAAAAGTCGAGCCGTTGTTATTGAAGTCGTAGTTGATTTCCGCGAGAGAGCGACCAAAATGCTAAGCGAAGCAAGTGGGCGCTAAAGCTCGGACCACACCCATTCACCATACTCATAGATAGCCGCATCTGCTTCCTCAATCATGAGAGCGTCAAGCAGTACACATAACAGTCTCACCTGGTACAAAATATAATATTCGGTAACTGCATGCAAGAGTTTCCCAAACGCCGGTCAATGCCAAGCCCAGTCTCAGTATTCCTAAAGCGCCGCCGCGCCATCATCTCCTCCCTTCACATGCTAGAGATGCTCGATGGGGCCCTCAGGTAGCAGGGGCTCGTTCTTCCTTTCCACACATGCCTTGATCGGGGGACGAATGAGGTCATTGAACAAGAAGGTACCGTACACTAGCAGAGCGAAACCCGCAACCTGAAGCCACTTGAACGTCTCCCAGCCAAGGCCAAGCGACACGATCCAGATAAAGAGTGTGCGGCAAGTATCAATCGTGGAGCGCGAAGTAGCGGAGACGGTCCGAGTTACGGATAGACCGAAGAAGTTGAAGCCACTGCAGCATGTTAGCGAGGATTGAGGATATGAAGGGAAGAAGACATACCCAATGCTGACCATGATCAACAGCGAGGACACTGCGATGGCACGGTAGTGCGTCATCTGGTACAGTCCCTCTCTGGCGTTGAAGTATCCAGTTCCGATGGCGAAATGTAGGATGATCATGCCAATGAGCGTAACCAAGAAGCCAAAAATACCCTCCCAGCCTACAACCTTGATTGGCTCCATAGCATACTTCTCCATGATCCTCTCTTCAAGCACGAACTGTGTCGCAGTGAAGATTTGCGCACCGGCAATAAGCAGGACACCGATAATGGTCATGGCGGCCTGCGAAGCCACCGCGTCGACACCAACCGAGCCGGTTGCCTCATCATGAATCGATTGATGACCGGGCGATGCTTTGTCATCTTTGGTGATAGCACCTGCGAGTCCGACAACAGCGACACCAGCTACGACAACAAAGAGCGAGAACCATTTGTAGAGGCCAAGATGGCGCTTGAGGAACCACACGCTGAACAAACCGACAAAAAGGACCAATGCGCCTCTGGTCATCTGATAGATACTAGCAGCGACAAACAGCAGGCCAACGTTCATGAGCGTGGTTCCGGCAATATCGCAGCAGGCCGGAAGCGCCAACAAGAAGATGCTGCGTCCCTCGAGCGGTATTCTGCCCTCATCATCGGGATGTGCAGGCCTCAACGGGTTGGCGACAGCACCCGTTTCACTGTCATCTGACCCTTCATTATCTGGAATGGCCTCGTAGCCAGCCTTTGCGCTGGCATACCGCTGGTAGAGTTGGAAGACACCAATCACCAGCCAGCAACCCATTTCACCCATGAACATCTGAAGGGTCTGCAGGACAGGTTGTTCGAAATGGTCGCGATGTTTCGGCGAAGGGGAGTCGCAGTTGTTGACGCATTGCATGTCCTAGTTGCGCGCAGTCAGCATCTGGCTGCAGGGGAGCTGCACAGAGGGCTTTATGTACTTGGTACTTGGTTAGCAGTGTGTTACACACACCCGTCAACAGCATCATAGCCACCAAGAACGGCACTGCAGCTTTGACCGCCATGATGGAGATGAGTCGAGCTCCCGGAGCTCAGCAACGCTTATCGGACGCGGTATCGCAAAGTGATGGGTTGTGGACAAGAACGCAAGCTATGTTCAGATGGAGTGCGGGGAGAATGAGGTGGAGGGATAACAGAGTCGAGATCGAGGCAGCGACGGCAAGGTACTAGGCAGCTCTGAGCTGCGACCCGTGACGGTTGATGGCCGAGTGAGGCGCGTGAGGCTGCGTGACGACTGATGCGCCTCGGCGATAAGACATGGCGCTAACGTCCGGCTGCGTTTTGCCCGTTCGGGTCATGGGGACGCGTGACCTGGTCAGTCACGGTGCCAAAGGAGCATTTCCGCATTCGGATCAGTGCACATCGCCTGTGTTTCTTTTTGAAGACACAACTATGAGATTCAAGGGGTATCTAGGTCTACGCGGTAGTTCGCGCTCTGTACCTGAAATGGCAAAGTACTTTTGAACTAAAATAACATGTCGGGTGCGACGAAACTCTCCAATCCAAATTACAAGAACCACCTAAAGTCTGGATTCTTGGGTCCATCTCTCAGTTTCTCGGTTGAAACATCCCTAGCAGAGTGGTTGACGCCCTGTTTCGCGTTCCTCCTCTTATTGTCTACAACCATGTAGGCACCCAGCAGCGCTGCACACAAACATCCAGTCGCTCCGAAAGCTGCAGTAGTCGCCAGCGCAGGGATGTACTCTGGTGCATCCTGTGGCCTGAAGATGTTCGAACTAACGACACCCATCAAGTTTGCCAGCGGCACACCAACCGAGGTAAGGGTTACACGCCGGTTCTCGTCGGCGACGTTGTTGTTGTACCATGTGGAGAGGAGAACGGAAGGTGCAGATGTACCCCATGTCATCATGAAGCAGGCGAAGTAGGCAACGGTAAGGGATTGTTCTACGTCAATGGTGGCGTAGATGATGAAGCCGATGAATGTGAGCAGAAATCCGAGAGCGATGAACGGGAAGCGGAGACGAGTAAAGTCCGAGGCAAAAGCCAGGATGAGAAGAACAATTGCCCCAACGATGTTGGGCGCTACAGTATAAAGGTTCGTCTTGATGTGATCGTATCCTAGTCGCGCGACAATCTGTGGCAGAAATAGCGATACGGACTGCAGCGGTACACCGAGACAGATTTCAATGGCTAGGAAGCCATAGGTTGATGCCTCTTTGAAAATACCAAGAGCGTCTTTTAAATTGAACTTTTGGTCAACGATCGATGAAGAGTCGATCTGGATACGTGTGTATGCCAGTTGCTTCTCTGACTCATTGAGGAATTTGGCTTCGAAGGCGTTCTTGGGGAGGTACCAGTAGGCGAAGAAGGAGAAGCAGACTGTGAGTGCTCCCTCAATAATAAACAGATAACGCCACGAGTCAAGCTTTGACTCGATCTGGAATACACCGAAAGCGAGCAGTCCACTGAATGCGTTTGCAATATTGGAAGCGGCATAGAATAATGCCAGTCGTCTGGCAAGCTCTCCTCGACGGTAGAAGGTGGTCAAGTAGTAGATGACCAATGGGAAGAATGCAGACTCAGCCATACCTGTGTATCGTTAATTGTACATCCATGCACACTTTCAAATCGAACACTCACCCAAAAACCATCTTAGAGCCATCATACCACTCCAATTCTGCACGCTAGCAGCGAGCAGCGTCGCACTACCGAAGCAGAACATCATGATAGGCAGCACACGATGCGGCCCGTATTTCTTTCCCAGCATACCAATCGGTGGCGCAAAGATGACATATGGTACGTAGAAGATACTCAGCATGATGTTGTATTGGTTGCCCACGAAACCAAGATCTTTGTCCATGCCGTCCGTCTTTGCGTTGCCCAGATTGCCCTTGTCGAGCGCGTTGAAGAGATACATGACAGCCAGCATGGGCAGAATCCTGAGATCAAACTTCCACGTCAGAGCCTTCTCGTGCTCGTATGTAGGCAGATGCTCGGTTGTTCCTTCGACTGGCACAGGTGCGTTGGCATCTTTGGACGAGGATAGGGAAGCCGTGACTTCGAGGCCGTCTTTCGCGAGCTCAGGATCTTTGTCCGTTGACATATTGATAATTCGAGATGTCGAGAACACGTTCAGATATTGAAGAACCTAGATGAGATGTCGAACTCGGGAGCGACGCAATCTGTATGCGCTTCTAGGAGGATCGTGGAAGAAGGTGCGATGCGACTCGACGTCGAAGAATCCGATTGCTTGCTCTGTCTTATGTACGATCACCATGAGCTAGTAACTGCGATTATAAAACCAATAGAAACTGCATTCATCCCGTGGAGTTACGTGCAACCTCAGGCTACACGCTAACGCAGCCGGATATCCCAGGCGTTACATGGCGGTAGCGAGTGCAAGGTAACATCCTCCGCTGTCTATCTCACGTTGCGCATGGTCCTTCTGATAAACTCCCTGCTCTTTCTGACCAATACCGATTATGTCGCCTCGTGTCGCGCGCAGAAGCTGGGGTCTTTAGTGGTTCGGCAGTGACCCCAAAAGAGGGATCGGCATGGAGGATTGGAGGATTGGAGGGGTTCATCCGAGATACGACATGATAAGAAAAGGCCCGTCGCCATGCGATATCGGAAGGATCCGTGAAGATGGCAGTTGACATCAAACCTGCGATAATTTATCGGTGAGCTTCTACCATCTAGTTTTTCTGTACGAGTAGCATTAATCGCGAGGCTAGAAAACTTGGAAAGTTTCTGCGCGTGGGTAGGGAAAGTGGAGTGAAGTTCGGGGGAAGTCCCCCGCACTTGGTAACGACCTAATCAGGGGCGGATTGCCTGATCCACTGCCATGCATACCTAGGTACGAAGAAGCTCGTCTCTTTCGTGTGGTAATTACTACCTGAGTAACCCAGAGGAATTTTGTTGACTGTAGTGTCGGCAATACCCCTATCGTATCCGGCACTGTCAGAGAACGAGCATCAAAGATAACCAAAGTGCACGATTCTTCTACGGAACCACACGAAACATGGGATTTTAAACGCTAAATACCTCGATAACTTCAAGTCAGTTTGACCGTAGTGGTCTCTGACAACAATCATGTAGCCCTCGTGCCGGAGCTGCAGAAACCAATACCGATCCTTTCCAAGGCTGGAATTCGATTCACAGTACAACGATCGTTCCCAATCATAAATTCTTAGATTAAGTGGAGATATAGAAAGATAGTGTCACCACGAGCAGGAAATCGGGTTCGTGAAGCTCCAATCCGATGATTTGGTCGTTTGTAGTATCCAGACATGGTCCTTTTCTGATCGTTGCAAACAAAGACCGCACAAACACTGTCTTGCATGGTGTCTCTTAGAGTTGAAGTCGAGATCTCTTCACTTGTAGGAATGAGGTGGAGTTTGGTATGTCCGGCACGGACTACCAAAACTCCCACAACAACCTCCTTAACCGGGTCCAGCCTCTCTGGAAGAACCAAGATTGAAAGATTTGGGCCTTTCTTGCCTCTCCTCCTATGTCAGAGTATCATTTCATGCTATCACTTCTTGCTACCCTGGACCACCTAAAATGTTGGCACACAGAAATCTTTGCTATGTTTAGGCTCTTGGAGCATTAAGATAAATCCATCGGTGTTCTGTGCCTTCATAGCCCAGCATAGTCCGAGCTATTCCGTGCGAGCTGTATTTGGAGATAATAACACGACGAGGCAGCGTAGCTGCCGTACACGATTGGGGCAACGAAAAAAGCGGGGCCTCGCACCCTGCTACTACGAATGGCTTAAAACGATTAGCTGTGAGCTGAAGCGAGCTACGAAAGGTTTTGAACGACGAATTGCTAGAGGGCACCTCTAGCAACAGGCTACGATATCTCTAATAGGCGATGCCCGCCTATTAGGAAGTTAGATCACGACTACAAAGTTGTGATCTAGCATCTTTAGCTTAGGTAGCGAGCGGTGTAGCGGCACCGCAAGTACCTAAGTATAAAATGCTGCAGTTAAGAGCATAAATCCTTTCCTCTATACTAGACTACAACGTTAAAACCTAGGTAAGTCCTCTACAAAGTCCTGTTTCCCCTGCTAACTCTGAAGCAATGCGACCCGTTCCTATGCCCAAAGGCATACCTGACATACCTGCGCTGTTGGGACTCAAAGTGGCCAAACAGCTTAAGGAAACTAATATTCGGATGCTAGCACTACTCTCCGAAGCCGATTAAGAAGAAGCTGTTGATGAAGCTTTGCTTAGCGACTCCGACAAAACGTTGTAGACAAGCTAAGGAGCTATATACTACTAAGCAGACCTTGAAGGGTTGATATGTCTCAATATGACTCTCCTTACTGTTATCTCAGAGATAGCTAAGGCTAACTGCTGGGATATAAGAGAGCTTAAAGAGCGAAAGGCAGCTCTCTCTTGCCTAGTAGCAAAGTAAAGGCGGACTGTTAAAAGAGATCTAGTAGAACTAGAGTTAGAGGAGGCGTTAGAAGGAAACCTCGCCTGGCTGGGGTGGATGTTGAAGTACTTTTTGGGAGTCATTAACATCAAACCGTTGCCGGAAGATTTGTCGGATGAAATGGAGATTGACTCCAACTGAGGCGGCGGCGGCGGCGGTGGCGGTGATGGCGGAGGAAGGCGGCTCAAATAAGATAGGATAATGGTAATCAGTAATAAGCAACAACTAAACGAGTGTGATAAAAAAAATGGATGACGCTCCGCTACGGGAGCAAAAACGCCTCCCGTGCGAGCTGTATTCGCTTAGTCACTCGCCCATAAGCAGACAGAACATCTGTCTAGAATGTAGGATTAAGCGTAGCGTGAGAGTCTACCATCTTGTGCCTGTTTTGGCCACTACCCTTTCCATCTGCTATGATACGGGCAAGAACGGCACGTCTATCGGAGTTGTTTCCAGACAACCTACTCTTAGTGAAGCCGTGATGGAAGCTCAAGCTGCTGATTCTGTATTCACAAATTCCTATCGCACTTAATTTCACACAAAAGAAGTTCTGTATCAGAAAGTTGTATTGTTCGGGATGACAGCAAGCGCTTCTGAAAAGCCAGAGCCCAAATCAGTCGAGGCAAATTTACTTGACAGGATACTCTTTGTTCTAATGACCTTCGATTATGTACTATACGTAGTGCTTCGCTTTTATGGCTTATCTTAGGCGGCTTCGTAAGACTGTTGCGGTCTGGGAGCATGGAGGAGCGCTCATTGGTATTGCCGGATTTAATTACTACAAGCGGAACGAAAGAATTGGGATAGATGAAAGTCATATTGCTGCCTTTGTGGCACCAAGAATTGAGCTCATTATACAAGATGGAAAAAGAATCTACCTACAAGTAATCGACTCTAAGTCGCCATGTAAGGTCGAAGACATCCTTGAGGGTATAGGGCGCAAAACTCAACCGATTTAGCATTTTGGCAGGTCGCTGGTCACATACAAGTCTGTCATGCTTTCGTACATCGAGCGGGAATTATAGATGCCCCAAATTCGACAATCATAGCGTTATAGATGTGGTGTTTCTTCGCCATTAATTAGCAATGGTACTTTCCGGATGTATCAAGCTCAAAGCTAAGCAGTAATAGGTCGGACACGCATATTACTCTTCAAGACCCTGCGTTACATGTTTTTTCCTGCACGCCGTCTTGGCTGGTGGATACCGAATGGGGGTTATCAATGCCGGGTGGTACGAAGCGATACGGTATCGGAGTACTAACAACCAAGCATCTCTTTTAACAGACTTCTTGCGTCTGAGCGCACGACAATTTTCCGGAAACAGAGGCTAGTAAGCGTCATCCCAGTAGGGAAAGGTTATTGCTTTAATTGCTCGGGTTACTAAAAGATTGCATATTTTTGACATGGGAGCTAGCAATTTGTCTTCGGAATCGTCTATGGTCGAGAAGAGAAATTGCGTAACCCGAGATTCTTAACTACTTCTTGTGACTGTTGGTAAAATGGGACGAATGTCAGACCTAGAACGCACTTTGAAAAATTTGCGCTGCGAAGCTGACGCATCCAATCGCACTATACAACGCCAATGGGTATCCTGGTTAAAAGAAAGAAAGAAGCGAGGTTTTACTCGTGAACGCCTGTACCAAGTATGAATAAGAAACCTTGTACATAAGGGAAATACGAAACCGAACGTTGTTGCCTCATGGATTGTGGGCCGCTTCTTTCCCCTTGGAAGAACGAGGATGCAGAAAATTGAGTCCGCCCTTTGCAACACCAGCGACGTTGAAGTGTAGGGGCTCCTTGGGACCCTTTTCCCTCACTGGCATCTTACGCTTGGACCGGCCCGAGACATACATTGGCTGCTGTGCATGACCGTTGCCATTCACGTTGGGCATGCTTTGCTTCGACCGTAGCTTGGGTTTCTTGTCACGATGCTCATCATCAGTGGTTTCCGTATCGAAGCTGCGAAGGCTGCTACGCTCGGAAGAGAAACGTGGGTGGCTAGAATGGCTCGATGACTGGGTTGGCGCGCGCTGCAGAGGACTAAGAGGACTCAGTCTGGAGGAATGAACAGACGATGCCGTTTGAGCGCGCTCGATCGGACTCAGCATCGCAGCGGAGTTGGCAAGGACGTCCAGTCCCGAGGGCGCCCTAGTCGCCATCGAGTGAGTTCGAGATGAATAAGTAGGAGGAGGATCCTGATAATCGTACATAATCTCTGAGTCCAAGCTCTTGTATTTAGCGGTACCGTCGAGTTCATCGTCGTGTTCCCAGCAAGTCTCGTCGAAACCAGTAACTGGGGGTAGAAATCGAATCTCGTTCCAGGTGACGTCTTCATACTGCAGGGTGATGTAGAGAATGTCTCCCTGCATCTTGTCGTGCGCAATACAGTGATCCTCTAGGAATGGATAGTCCCATACGCCGCGGTGAACGAGATCGGGTGGTAGAAGCGTCAGCGCCATGCGACCGAAAGGTTCGTCAGCTGGGCGATGGCCGGTCATGGGCATCCAGGGTCTACCGCGGAAGACGCCCTTGAAGGCAGTCTCGATGCCATTCGCAAAACAGGAGCTGTCCTGGCTAGGGAACTCGAGGTTCTGCAACAGCTTGCGTGAGGCACATCGCCGGTAGCCATTGCTGTCGGGATCGTATGCGAACCTTTGCGACTTGCGCGGAATGAAAACAACGCGAACACTCCACGACAGAGGGTATTTCTTATCAGTTCGGATCGGAAGTTGACCAAGAGTATGCTGTGAATGCATCATGAGCGGCATTGGTGGGGCAGGAGAGGCCTTTGGGGTTGACAGATGTGCTTTTGGCGTGGAAGCAGCGGGTGTTACGTCTCGCGACATACCACTAAACTGCTCCACTCGGTCGACCCGGTTCTCCAAATCCATGCTGAACTCGTCGACCATGGTCAGGCGCTCGCCCTGCACCTTGATCTGGTCGCTGAGCTCCGTTGTTCTGTCTACCACGGCCTCGACCCTGTCGTCGATGGAGAGTTTGAGAAGTTGCATGTTCTCGTACATGCGCGCTTGTACTGCATGGTTTGTCCGTACCAGCTCTTCTCGAGCCAGACGCTCTCTGAACAGCTCCTGCTTTAGATGTTGCTCGAGCGTCTCGAAACGCTGCACCTCTTGCTTCAGTCGCTTCATTTGTTCTACCGCATGTAGGTATGCCTCCATTGACACGGTCGAGATCGGCTGAGCCTCATGGTTCCAGGCCTGGTGTCCGCACCCACAGCGAGAGCGGATGAGGGAATCTGGATAGAAGCTACGGCAAGGGCAACGCTGGCGGGCACCATTGCCCTCGGACGGTGGGATGATGAAGCCGCATTCTCCGCGCGGGAGCTGTGCCTCGTTGCCAGGCGCGGGCTCTGCAGGCAGATGGACTGGGGCCTGAGTGCTGCTATGGAACATCAGGAGTCGACCCGAGGTGGTGGTCGTAGCGTGGTTGCTGTATGGGTGACGGGCGGCTCATGGAAGGCCGAGAGAGGGGGTCTCGAGGGTGTTTGTGTATTGGGAAAGAACGACTGTGGATATGAATGCGGACTGCACTGCAGTAGGGACGGAGCCAGGGGCCAAGAGCCTTGGGTACGAGAGTTAGCTGGGGCAAGGCTCTAGCAATATACAGTGCACAAGATAAGCAATCAAGGCATACCTAGATTCCGCGCCAGACAGGCGGTGCACGCGGGAGCATCCGAATGGAAGGTGGCACAATCAAAAGGACGGGCAGGACCTGTGCACCCGTGGGTGGGGAGGGAGTTTTGGGGCAGCGGTAGGGAGCGTGAGGGCGGTGGTGCTCAGGTTTTGGGGCCCATGGGATGTGCAGGTACTCTTTGTTTTTGGCATTGGAACTAGCTCCCGCGCCGGGCGTGGCCAGCCCTGTCCTCGGCGGGGACAGTGCTGTGCTGTTGCGGGTGCGGTTGAAGCTGGAGTTTGGGGTGTGTGTGGTGGCCGCCGAGCCAGGAGTAAGAGATAAGACTCACGCCTTCAGCCAGAAAACGCGCCAATGACACGGCCAGCGTGGGAGCCCCGAGGCGGCCTTGGATTCGCCGCAGGCCCATCTGCTCTCTTATTGCGTGCCTGAGCTGCTGCAGCCGCAATGCCCTGCAGCCCTCTCGACACCTGCTCACCACGCTTTATCGCGGCCACGGACCGAGCATTGTTGCTGGCAGCGCTGCCCAGCACCACATATGCGCGCGTCTCCACGCCCTTTGACGGTGAGCGAAACCCCACACGAGCCGAGCCACCAGGCCTGAGGCCATTTGTAACACTTCTTCGTCATAGCATCTGCTCGTCCAAGGTCGGCACGCGTGCACTCTGCCGTGGACACGACCGTCACCCTTCGATAGCCCGTACCAGAAGCTTTGTAGATGTCCATGCACGATAATAGCTGTGATCCTCTGCTCCTTATCGCGACTTCCTGATACACCCCACGCAGCCTGGGGTTCGCTTATCTGATTGGCCTGCCCAGGGCCATCGCATCAACGCAGAACAACTTTGGAACCGCCTTCTTTTGCCAGCGCGCTTAGTAGCCACATTGTCGCCCGATTGTGGCAAACTCACTCAATGCGAAGCCAGCCGGCTGCCATGTATAATCCATGGCTGCACTCACCCACCCGGCACTTGTGCTTCACGGCATGTCTTGCTACCAGAATCGACCCAATGCCCGTCGTTCCTTCTGCACGACGTCTTCGATGTGGGAAGGCGCAACTGCCTCATTGGTATTTGAGTGCCAGCCTCACCCGCATCTTTTTCCATCTCTCCGCTTGTGATTCTTCATTGATGCATGACCACCGCGACGCTTTCTCACCTCAACTTTGAGGTCGATGCTGACCCGAGTACGCCACATACGCCACCCTCTGTTCGTGCGACAAACTCTCTCCCTCGCCCTACCTAATCACCTTCAACTGTCACCATGTGAGCCCGGTACGTGAACAGGGCATTAGTTTCGCGCTGCCCATTCACGATACTGGCATCGCACGCGCCCTAGTCCAACGCGCTGTCACATGAGACGGTGTGTCAAATGGTGCTGCAGGACACGTACCAAGCTCAACCACGACATCCCACGCCACGTAAAGACGTTACACATGCAGTGCACACCGATGGTCCAAGTCGCCTCCAGTCAACTACCATAGGGCAAAACGTGAACGATGTTTGCCATTCTAATTCATCCCACGGCGCGGCAGGTTCATCAATTTTCATGGCTTCGTTTCCATTGTGGTGGAACCGATGGGGTAATGGATACCGAATCCTTCAAAACTTTGACTGCACTTTTGCTCCTTCGAGAACTCCTATGACATTCGTGCAACTTGCCAATTCTTTCAGTCGTGTTGCACAACCGCCTTATCCCACGCCTACACAGCAACCTTGTACCATCCTCCTGGCTCGGTGCTGCAACTGTGCGCTCGCACAATGACATCGCATCGCTGACGGTTGCTCTGTCGCGGCTTGTGCTCTCAATCGTTTTCTGGCGTTCTATCCAAATTCTAGCCAACCCAACAATTCCGCCCCGAGAAAGTTAGTCTCACTGCGGGAGCATCCGTGGGGAAGCGGTGGAATGTGTATCGATTCCTTCCTGAAGCGGCTGGAGACTGTTGCACACATGTTATGCCAAGCGCTGTGGACTCGCTGCAAGTCATTGGCGTGGTTGTCGCACTTGTTTTTCAAAGGGTTGCATGTTTTCGTGTGCTGAGACGCCAGGTCAAAGAAATCCTGGCCTTTCAAGGTTACCATGCTTTAGGTCGGGTTTATTCAACTCTTCGCGAGCTCTGTTTTCGTGATAGGGCAACGTCCTAGGCCCCAAAGTACGCGCAGCCTACGAAGCTTGTTTGATGAATTGTTTTTGCGATAACACGGACACGCTTACCTTCGTATCAACAACGTCAGCGTCAGCGAGAAATAGGGCCTTTTGACAACCGTCGTCACCATTGCTTACGGACAGAGCGGTTCGGCACTATTATTGCACCTCCCGAACCCCCAACTTATTAGCCATCTAGTCTGGTCTTGATGAGAATGCGTAACTTCCCGCGGAATTTCCCATGCACAAGGCAAACCTGGGTAGGTTGGGCAACATGCGACGATGGCGTCCTTCACGTTCGGACCTCGGGCCGTACCCTTTCCGAATCCTGCCAAGAGCTCCGAACATCAAGCTCTCCGGACCATCCTCTCCAGCGAGTCTAGAGTCGGAGGTTACTCTCTTTGTTGCATACTCCACTGTGCTACTTCGACGATTACCAAATGCCGGAAGAGAACTGGATTGCCCACGGAGGTGTGCCCGCATGTGACTTATGTCATGCTCGGAAGGTCTGCCCTAAATGTGGATACCTGCATTTATACACAAGCATTGACAAACACCAGGTGAAATGCGATCGCAAAGAGCCATGCGCAAACTGTGTAGCGGCCAAGGCTGAATGTCTGCGCAATCGGCACAAGCGCGTCCCGCGACCCAAAGTTCGAACGTAAGCAATCATCTGTCCCGCGACCAGATTAGGCTGTGTAGAGGCTTTGCTTTTGTCCAGGTGCTCCAGTCTATCATTACCCTTCGGCTCTGATCATGTGTAGGGACGAGAAAATAAAAGCTCTAGTAGAACGGCTCTCAAATCTCGAACATTCCGTTCAAAGTGTCCATCGTAGCCCAAGTTTGGCGCAGGAGCAGGAGACCGTAAATAGCTTTGCTGTGCCAACTATTGAAGCGACTTCAGATCGACCAGCAAAGAGACAGAGGACATCCAGCTCGCTAGATGTGCCAGCCCCAGCCCCAGCTCAGGATGTCGACAATAGCCCACAGACAGCAAATGAGGCTCGCATCCACATCAGCAAAGAGCTCTCTACCAATGGATTACTGTCGAGCCATCAACGCTCAGTCCTCGAAACCGCCATATCATTTGTTGACCAATTGTCCCACACGCCCACACCAACCATGCCAGACCGCAGCACATTTGATCAGTCGATGCATGTCTCTACTGATATGACTAAGCACGAGATCTTTCATGTCATCCTCGGTAGTAAGTATGCCTCTATGAAATCTTTGACGTGAAGCTGATAGTGAGGTCAGCTGAATTCAAGGAACGAGGCAACGCCGCCGTTCGCTACCATACTGTCGATCATGTGCCACCAAAGGCGTTCGAGAAGATTGCACTTGCCCTTATGGAAGGTACTGCTGATGAGAAGACTCTCAATCTGTATCGAGTCATCGTTCACTTTCAGGCAGCTGTTGTACTATATGCGAGCCAGTTGCAAGGCCCTAAGAGTGCAGCTGTCCAACGACACATCCAACAAATGGAGTTTAATCACCTGATAGCAGCGCTTACTGCTCTAGATAAAGTCAGCTTCTTAACTGCGCCTTCTCTTTTACTCGCGCAGGCATTGGTTACCGGAGTAAGGTATCCATAGTCGTATTACTTGGAACGGTGGACTAATTAAAAGCAGGCTACCATGATGCAGATCATGGGCAACCCTGTGAGCTGCTGGGAACTTACTGCCCATGCATCGCGCACTATCGTGGCTCTTGGCTATCATCATATTGACGAACCGATACCAAAAACTGACACCGAGAGCGAGATATATGCCATAGTCGGACAATGCGCCTATTTTGATAGCGTGATGAGCCTCTTGCTACTTCGGCCACGATCTCTTCCTCAACTCCAGGTAAAGGCTTCGTATCTGTTGCGAGCCGATCCAGCCAGCCCCATGAGTGTTCTAGAACTGCTTCCTATACTCGACAAGATCTTGGATCTATCGTTGGAAACCAAGCCGTCGCCAGCTATACTGAACGAAGAGGTGGCGCAATTGCGAACAAAGATGCAGGACATCTACGAGCTTATGGAGAAAGTATGCAGATCTACCCCTTCCTAATTGATACTTTAGCAGACGCTCATGCTTTGCTAGGAACGACAACTGCATCTCCTGGATAGCAGAACTGACGCTCTCATACACTGGAAAGGTATGGAGTTTAGGTACTTTTCTACCCTAACTTCAGTCCACCGTCTAAGCCCTACCGTTACGACAAATCCATCAGAACGAGAGGAGTGTCTTCAAAGTGCCCGGAAGGCATTGGAGTGCGCCAAAGATATAGAAGAACTTGGAAGATCGTTGGATCACTTCATCGAAGGCTATGACCCTTATCTCGCTTGGTGAGCGTAAAGCTGTTCCAGTGAAGGATCCGTAACTAATGACCATCAGGAGTATGCTCTCTTATCCACTCTGCCCCTTCTTCGTCGTTTTTTGCAACGTGGTCGGCACGTCTAGCGCTCGAGATTTCCAGCTCCTCCAAGATGTTACTGACGGCCTTTCCGGGCTCGTTACGGAAAACAAATATGTTCACCGATTGCATAGGCTGTGCGCTACACTGCTGGGTCTTTGTAAACCTCTCGTACGGACTTCGGACCTTCACGAGCAAGTACCACAACCGAATGGAAGATCGGCTGCACCGTTGGGGACCTGTCCTCTACCAGCAGGTTTCGGCAATGGTCCTGATATCTTGAACGGCGGCGGAAGTGATGTAGCCCCTAGCATGATGCCTTCATCATGGAATGATGACATGATGTGGCAGTTGTTCCAATCGCAACCTTCTCTTGACTGGTTCAACGCTGATATATTAGACCCTTCGTGGGGCCTTGGACAAACGCAGTAAATGAGAATCGGAAGTAACCAATACTTTGTTGCTTTATTCACACGCCGGCCATGGTTATATGCATAGTATGTAGTAGCACGACGCTCATGGACATGTACGTAAAGTTGTATACCCAGTCCTCAAACTCACCTCCATGTAATAGTCTAGCATGCCCCTTCAGTTTGCCTTTCTATTTCGTAGGGAATAGACTGTCCGCAGCGCTTTCGCTACGATCGCAATCATCATTGGGCGCCAAACATAAAAATTGACATGTTTTGTCTTACCGTGCCTCTTCAGCTCTTGCACGCGATCAAAGATTGTACCAGCACACTCTTCCCACTGGCATTTGAACATGGTTCCTTCTATCCCATCGGCATATGCTATCCCGAATGTTGTCTCTGACAGATGCTGTGCGTGGCGGAAGTGGCAGTATCACACCAATAACTGGATAAAATTCCCGGTGCTCAAGTTCAGTAGGAGTGCAACTATGCCACGGTAAAATACCATCCGTCTCGCGATAACTTTCGTAGACGACACCGTTGCCTGATACAGGTTTATCTTATGATTGGATTCCGGTACGATGCTGCGACGGACCATCGGATGCCAAACGATTATTGTAGGATCTATAAAGCTGTTAGCTCTGTACTCGAGGAGTACAAGCAACTTCACTACCTTTCATTCATCGAATGCAACTGGCTAGCCGCAGATAGATCCCCAAACAAATCGCTCGCATCTACTAGACACACCGAAGAAGCATCTCCAGAACGGTAGTTGGCATCTATTCACTCTGTTTGAGGCATGGTGGTTATGTCCAAGTGCCTTGGAGTCCTCGGACATCCCATCTATCCAACACAATTTACCTTCTTCATCCGGAGTTACTGAAAGGCCAGTCCAGTTGTTGTTCGCTCGGTGACCTAGTTTGCTTTCTCCATGGCCAGGGCTTGGTAACTAGTAGGTATCACTGGCTACTAGAAGAACAACCTTTCGGGTGTCTCGATGGGAGCCTTGTAAACAAGATTCCAACCAGGCGACATTTCTCAACGTAATGATGGAGTATGAAAAGAGTCAGCCATACCGCAGCTTCACTCTCTAAAGTTAGGTACTGAGTTGTGTGATCAGCCGACGTACATTTGACCAAGTTAAAGCTTAAATACTGGCCGTAGCGGTGGTAGTCTTGTCTTTCGGGGTACTGAGAAGAACTATGTCTCCGCAAAAGATCGACAGTGCTCCGGATACTTACATATACGTATGAAGCACCACGACGCTACAGGCAAGATGCTTTGATTTAGGTCACACTAGACTAGTCCTTCAACTGCGAAATCTCCCACCAACCCGAGGGTTACAGTCGCTGTGTCCAATGAGACCGGACGAAACTTTTTTGTTTCATCGCTGTGAGTTCTTGACAACACGAACGCGGAAGTGCTTTTGTAGTCTTGGTTCATGCCATGCACATTTCGCTTAGTATGTGCCTTCTCTTGACATGCAGCAGAAGATTTGACGAGTCTGATTTCAGCGTATGTGGCGTACCAAAGCACGAGATTCCAGTTGCTCCATCAGCCCTTGCTTGTCGGCTTCGCACTGTAATAGTCCTCACAATTTACATGCGGAGATCATCATGAATATCAACAGGAAAAAAAAGTACTTGCCAGGGGTATCTTTGTTGCATTCATCGTGATTGTGCATTATCATGTCTCGTCAAATCTCTATCACCACCCCAAACCTCGCAGGAACAATCAACTTGCTACTAGGAAAGTAGCACATACGGTTATTGCATCTCCATTTCAACCTCCTTTTTTGCCTCCGCCGCCTGGGTGGGTTTCCGACTTCTACTCCTGTTCTCTGCTTTCTTCTCCACTATGTCCGCCCCCAGTCCCAAATCGGCGATCTGAGTCGACGCAGGCTCCAAGGATTGTTCCGTACTCGCCTCGGAACTCAGCCTGTTGCTGCCCTCCAACGACCTTTTCACATCCTCTTCAGCGGTCTCATGAGTGACATCTTCGGCATTTTTCCCCGTTTCTGTACCGGCGCTCAGATCCGAGCTTGGCTCAATGACTTCTTGTGCTACGTCTTCGCTCGGCCTACTAGTTGCTGCAGCTGGACTTACTGCCCTGTTCGTGTTGCTAGTGATGCCCAGCTTCTCGAAACCCGCCATTACTCCTTGCCTTAGATCCTGCCCTAGTGCAGCTGCAGCATCAAGAGGTTTTGGTGTGTTGGAGACTCTAGGGGAGCGATCGCCAAAAGTGTGTGTAGGAGGAAGCTGGACAGTTGTACCTGCTCCAGTCGCTCCGTCCGCGGACTCTGTACCTGTGACAATAGGCTCCTGGACGATTGGAGTGCTCGTTCCACTCCTTCCAGTACTCTGGTTACTGGTCTGGGGTGTGAGATTTGGTGGCGCTTGAGGGCCAAAGACGTTCATCTCCTCGTCAGTACGACCAAAACATTCAGCCCACCACCTAGCCTCACCTTTTCGAGGGAAGATCATGCGCTCCTTGCCTCGGATAGCGTCATCAATCTCTGGTTCGTACTTTGGGTTCATAAATTCTTGCTTGCGGCAGAGGAAATAGTCCCATACGCTCCTTGTTCGCTCCTTAGCCCTGGTGTCTACGCGCTCCTTTTCATTGTCGAACAGGAACGTTCCGTACTGACAGGAATAGAGATGGTAGAGCAAGCGCCTCAGGAAGCGCTCGCTGAACTCGAATCGGGTTGGATGCTGATAATACAGTTGGTATACACAATCGAGAAATTGATGGAACACAGGTGACAGCTCGTTCACCTTGGTGACACGATGCTCTTCCGCAGCTCCAATCTGAACAGGCTTCGACGAGGGAGTATCAGCAATATCTGTGACATTTTCTGGCATGTTCGTTTCCGGGAGCTGATTGAGAGATTCGTTCGATTCGTTGTGGCGGTTGAAGAGCCCTCGCGCACCACGAAGAGCATTCTCAAAGGCATTGCTGCCTCCAGTGCCGTCGTGCTTGCGCTCAATCTTTTCGTTCTCTATGGTGAACCACTTCTCATGGCTCAGAAACCCTGATCGATGTCGAAACATGTGTCCAAAGGAAAGCCAATCCTTCTCAACGAGGACGATGAAACCTTCCAGCGTCCGGTAATAGGGGTCTAGTAAGATTTGACTGAGTGCACTCAACTGGCTCGTGCGATCCCAGCCATCGGAACAGTGAATGAGGACATGCGAGTGCATGATGCCAACCGTGCGGGCTATCAGCGCAGTTCCATCCAGTATGTTAGCAATGTGCTTGATCCAATTACTCTTGGCCAGAAGCTGCCTGTTTGGGGGGAAAGGCACTAGATCCGACTCTTTCAGGGCCTCAATGACAGTATCAAGCGACTTCCGCATGACGTGAATATTGTCAATTCCGAGGTATGCTTTCTCCGCTCCTGGATAATAGTCCATCTTCTCTGAACCAAGCCCAACAGCTTGCATTGCGTAAGCATTTACTGTAGGCCTAGCATCAACAATGAGGTTCCGCTGCTGGGCCCCGTAGACTTTTGGCACGTCGGCGTCTGTTTCCGAAGACGTTGTCAGGTCGTCTGCAGTGGTCCTTCCAGCATCGATACTCCCTTCCGCTGCACCGACAAAAGAGCTATTAGCGCTCGAATCGTTCAGGTTCACAACGCTTGTATCAGGAGTGAGCTCTGCAGAATTGGAGGTGGAGATATTTGCAGGTTTCCACCCGCGGTTGGTCGCCCAGATGGCTGCGACGAGCCGCTCATCTTGAGGGTTTCGATTCCCACGCAGACCTGGTGTGGGCTGCGAGCTTCGCGTTATGGAGCAGTTGTTGACGGGATGGCGGTAAACGAGGGCTGGTATCCGCTGTCGCGATCGATATTCACCTGCATACCTGAGAACGCTGTCCGAGACGTTGGTGGGAACGACAAGAAGGGCGGGATACGTCGGCGCATACTGTTCCACTTGTCAAGACCTTCCTCAACGTTACATGTGGCATACCATATACCTTGTACTCCAAGTTGACTTCTGATATCCGCCAGCCCTTTTCCGAGTCCTTTGGGCTGATGCCCAGTCGCTTCCATTCGCGGCGCGCGTCGTAGATGTCCCAGCCATTCTGTTGGTCTTCTGGTGGTTTTGGCTGGTAGCTGAAGGCCAGTAGCTTGTCTAGTCTGCCTATCTTGCACGAGAGCGCCCGTATGCTATCGTACACGTCTCGCGCCTTCTTGTCGTTGGGGAAGAAGAAGGCGAAGAAGGTAAAGTCGCGACATCGTATGCGGATCGAGGGCTCCTGGCGCAAGACGGGCGGACACGATTTGAGGGAGCAGTAGTTGATCATGGGATAGGTAATCCATACTTCTTTCTGCCGCGGTGGTTTCGCGTTGGCGGGAGCGTCGGCGGGCAGGCTGGGGAGGTAGCTGAAGACGAGATGGTGGGGCATGAGGTGCAGCGTGCCGTCGAAGCGCGTGCCTCTGCGGAGGAGGTAGACGTCCTCTACCTGCAGGCAGTGTCAGCGTACTCAAAGCAGTGCTACAGCAGAACTGCACGTCTCGGCGACGTTTCTTACCTTGCTCACGCGTATCCGCTCCATGGCGACGAAAGGGCATGCGACAATGAGTGCGGGTGGCCCGGAGCGGGGTGTGAAATCGCTATAAGTATGACCCGACACACAAGACAAGCATCTAGAAAGAAGGATAAAGGCAGATGAGAGCGTCGCCTTGTCCAGCGCGCATGGTCAACATGAGCTTGTCGGCATGTGCCTGCCCTGTCATGCTCATGCCTCGTCCCGCCGCTTGTGTTTAGCATCTTGGCGATCAGCGTCATCTGAGTGTCCGCTTTTAGCACGCAGTCGTCACCTCCATCCATCAACATTCACTTGCATGTCGCAATTGCACTTGACGTGACTCTGAAAAGGCCTCCATCAACACCACAATAACACAGCCAAGTGCATGAAAAAAAAAAACTGATCCAAGAGAAAATGCTTTCGTTCAACCGCGAGAACAAAACCTCGTTTACTACCAGTGCAGAGCACATCTAGAGCTCAGGTACACAAGCAAAACAGGCAAGATGCTACATACTTACTTGGCTTGGCCAATAAGCTTACCTGGAACCATTTATACTGGCAGCTGCTTGAATTACATGTACAAAAACTCTCACGAAATTACTGCGAGTGCTTTCCCAGACAAAGAAATCGCTACCTCCATCAATAACCTAAAAAACCATATGAGCATAGACATACAGGCTGGCTATGCGCCGACCCAGCTTCTACACTGTCACATCTGCACACCTAAGCCGGAGGCGGTGGCGGCGGCGGAGGGACATCGCTAGGCGGCGGAGGTGGAGGGGCCTCGCCTGGAGGAGGCGGTGGCGGCACGGAGCCAGACGGTGGTGGTGGAGGTGGTGGCGGGCTGCCGGCAGATCCGTAGGTCTGGAAGAGAGGACCAAGGCCAGGAGGAGGACCAGCAGGAGGTGGGGGAGCACCGTAACCAGGAGCACCATAGGCACCAGGAGCACCCATACCAGCGTTCTGGTCGTAGCCATAACCACCATATCCATAACCAGCTCCTGCTGCAGGAGCAGTGGGGGCAGCAGAAGCCCAGGGAGCCGCACCATTACCAGCACCGTAGCCTTGATCGTAGGATTGACCACCACGGCCGCCGCCACCAGCCCAAGGAGGAGGAGCGGCCGAGCTACTGTCGCCTCGACCACGGTCGTCGCCGTCACGCGCCCAAGGTGCAGAGCCTCCAGTGGGACCACGCTCCCATGGCTTGAGGGTGCGCTCGCCTCCACCGTAGTTGTCTCCGCCAGCAGCGCCGTTGCCGTTGTATTCGATCGCCGCCCGAGGCTGGCCACCAGCGCCTCCCATCTCGGCCATAAATGCGTCGAGCTCGTTCTCTGGGGCACCGCCAATACGAGCTGGCTGACCACGGTCGCCGAAACGGTTGTCGTTGCGCCAGGGCTGACCGACTTTGCGGTCGGGACAATCGCGAGCCATGTGACCAGCTTGACCACAGACACGGCAGATGATGCTGGCCGTGAAGTTTTGCTTCTGTGGACAATCGTACTTGCGATGACCAATCTCACCACAGTTCTGGCAGGCCTGGTTCTCGTCGTCACGAAGGGTACCGTTGAGGGCGGCAAGCTCACGAAGCTGGTTGCGCTTGAGTTCGTTCTGGCCTTCAGGGATAGAAGCAGCCTGCAAGATTAGCATCCGCGCATGGAATAGTATGGGAAGTGACTTACAGTCTCAATGACGTTATGGATAAGCTTCTTGGCCTTGTTGACCTTCTCCTCGGTATCGGCCATGATCAAGCAATGAAGGTCTTCTTCCTGATTGCTGGTATGAGCTGCGTCAGAGCGTCCTTTACCCTCCTTGACAGAGCCTTTGCCACGAATCGCAATCTTTGCTTGGGATTCCGTCTCCATCTTCTTGAGGGTATTTCCACGGGGGCCAATGAGTAGACCAACTGTTAGTGCAAAGAGCTGTGGTTAGTGTATGATCAAAAATATTGGAGCAAAAGGGTTAGGGTTAGTGACATAGCTGTACTACAGGTGCCACTAGATGCACATAAACATCCAGCAGTCTGAGCAGGCCGGTCAAGACAAAGGCTGGGGCAGCGCAAAACAAGGGGAGGGGAGTTAGAGGGGTTAGTTCCGTACTGAAGTTAATCTCCGGGTAATCATTGACCGGAACGTAGACTTTCTCCTGTGTCTTAGTGGGCCGCCTGTAATCGGCAGGTGGGTGGTAGTTAGGAAGCGTCTTCATCGCCTTCTCAACGAGCTTGTGGCGCTCGTCTTCGAGGCGCTTGCGGTAGCGGAACTCGCGAGTGTTGACACGGCGACCAAAGTTGTCATACTGGGGTGGGGGCGAGGGAGACCTGTCCATGTTAGCATCTTTGGCTATCAGAAAATCAAGGTACGTACCTATCGCCGTCCGCTGGGACGACATCGTTGATCTTCAACTTCTGGGTGATCTCCTCGATACGCAGATGCAGGGTATACGCGTCAAGCTGCTCCGTAGTCATGGCCGCGTAAATAGCAGTAGGCAGGCCCATCAAGCCAGCCGCCTTGTTCTCGCTCGCATCACCCCATCGATTGCGCTTCTTGCGTTGTCGCGGACCGTCGGAAGTGTCTGCGCCACGGTTGTCAGTAACGAAAAATGAAAACATGCGAGGATTTGACTTACTGCGCTCAGGGCTGCGGCCGCGCTTCAACTCCGACAAACCCTCGGCGGGCGCAGACGGGTTGTAACCGCCATCATCATCACCACCGCCGAAACGACGGCGAGTACCTAGAGGTATGTTGTTAGAACCCGTGATGCCCTGGTTGCGCCACGACATGATTGCAGTTGAAAAAAGGGTTGCGGTGTCGATGAAAGTGTAGGGCGAGTTGAGAAAGTGGAGGGCTGTCGCGACGAGGCAAACGTTTAGGCTAGTAGGGAGCGCGCTTGGCTGCTTTGGGCTGCAGCCTGTCGATCACGTGATCTTAACCTCTCTCTTGGCGCGAACCTTCCTCTCACTCAATAAATGGTGCCGTGGCTGAGGACCTGGGTTCTTTCTGTAATTATCCTAGAGCTCCTCTGCATGACAGGAGTACGGAGGCACCGCCTTTCCTATATTAAGGCCGCATGCTCTTTACACTATCCCAAAAGCGTCAGGCATTAATTAAGACTTCACAGATTGTTACTCGATGGCGGTAGTGCAAGGCAGATGTGTCGCCGAGGTTCCACGCTCAGGACTGCAAAAACATATTGGTGCCCATGTGCTGGCAAGTTCTCGCGTCGGCGTACCGCATACTCGCTGAAATCTACATAGGTTCGCTTCGCTAAATACCTAGGTAATTCAATTGATTATTCACTACCACCGCTTTCGCATGTACATCTCTCCAAAAAAAAGCCATCTGTATGCATCATTGGCAGTACTCGTTCTATTATCTTAAGAAATGAGGTAATGCCTTGATCGTATGCTAGGTGTTATAGGCACTCTTCATTCCGCGAAATGCAAGCTTCCGCGGTGCCACTGAGGGTTTGATTTCTGTTACTCATTAGCAACTCTTAGGTGCCAGCATTTCTACCTACCATAGCGAAACTATCCAGAATTCCACGCCTGGAGCCGCTTACGAATCATCGCAGTATTTGGTGTCGGCACGATCAACCAACCACCAAGCTCGATTTTCGTCCGAAGCTGCCCCTCATCACCCCCCACTACTACATCATTAAAGCTGCCAGGCCATAGAGCCCCACTGCGCCCTTCAACGGCATATATAGCCACAGACAACGAACTTCCGTTTCTTCTTGCAGTGTCGACTCGTAGCTTCAACTCACCGCGAACATGTCTCAACAATCGGACATCAAGTTGTACACCACACAGACGCCTAACGGCATAAAGATTTCGATAACTTTGGAAGAGCTAGGGTATGTACTTTTTCTTTTCACAAAAGTTGCAATGCACCTTTTATCATAGTTATGATTTCCAGCCCGTAGTAGCTTACACTGTTCTTTCTCGTCCAATGTCATTCGAAGTCGTGGCGACTCCTTCTCGCGTCCCTCCTCCTGCAAGGAAGCAAGAACTTGCAATATCCCAAGCTGTTTCCTAAATGGCTCGCAATACATAACGAAAGGGCGAAATTCTTTGCTGGGTTTAATTGCTCTACTTTGACATCTTTTGAAACACGCACCTCAAGTGCTTATCTTCGTCCAGTTCTTTTTTTTTTTAGCAATCCAGACTTCGGTGTTTGTGGCCAGTTGCATGTCATTCCACTATTTTTTTAAAGAAAAAAAACTCACACCTGTCATATACTGGACTTTAGCACATACAACGAAATAGTCATACTTTGTTGATTCAGTTAGCTGAGATCTGCAGCCTTCCTTACACAGTCCACAAGATCGACATCTCTAAGAATACACAAAAAGAAGAATGGGTAAATCTAGTCTGCCTTCTACTTGATCGTTCTAGGCTGATGAGAGATAGTTCCTGGAAATTAACCCCAATGGACGAATTCCTGCGCTCACCGATACCTTCACTGATGGCCAAACTATCAACCTCTTCGAGTCTGGAAGTATCATGGAATATCTTGTCGACCGCTACGATACGGATCACAAGATCAGCTTCCCTAAGGGCACACGCGAATGGTACACAATGAAAAACTGGCTCTACTTTCAAAATGCTGGCGTTGGGCCCATGCAAGGTCAAGCTAGTGAGTACACTTTCTTCTGCTTTCAGCTCTTTGCTTTTTGCGGCCATCCCGAGACCATGTCAGTGTGTCACCCGATGTAATGACGATTTCCTCCCGCTCTTGAAATGGTGTCGTCATTGCACTTCGTGTCAGGTACGGCACTGGATGACCACGGTAAATGGCGAGATGAAGTCTTCACAAGAATGCCGTGGAGTACATTATGATTTCACCACAGCTCATGTCTCATTGGCTTCAAGAATTACGTTGATCTCATCCGTACAAAACGAGCAACCTGCATCTTTTAGAAAACTGTGTCGGCTCGCCAGGATCATTTCCTGGCTGTCGATTCCGATGTGGAGGCTCTCATCCCGATGCGGGGGTATTTTTGGAAGACGTTTTCCGTTGAGACACGATCTGCCTGAAGATAGAGAACACGTTCTCTTCAGCATCAAATTGCTCTATAGTGCTACCACTGGAATATAATGATGATGCTTGTCGGTACAGTGAGCTGACGTCGACTGCAGACCATTTTACGCGGTATGCACCCGAACACATTGATTACGGTGTCAAGCGATACCAGAACGAAACTCGTCGTCTCTACTCCGTGCTAGAGAAGCATCTTGCCTCAGACAACAAGGCTTACATATGTGGTGAGAGATGCACGATTGCTGGTAAGCACTTCTTTCATGGGTCCTCATTGGCCGACCTATTCGTCTTCTTCGTCCATGAACTGCAGCGATATTTGGAATATGTGCCCAGTCATCTCCACTTGCATCGTACTTTTCATGCCTTCTCCAATACACGTAGACATTCAGCACACTCGAGGACGATTATGATGATACACAATAACACCTACTAGATATCGCCCACTATGGATGGGTCGCTTCTGCAGGTTGGGCAGGCGTCGATATTGACGAATTCCCTTCGCTCAAAGCCTGGGAGGAGCGCATGACATCCCGTCCTGGTGTCGAGAAGGGTCGTCACATTCCTGACCCTCACTCCATCAAAGAACTTCTCCAAGACAAAGACAAGATGGAAAAGTACGCTGCAGAAAGCCGCAAATGGATCCAGGGAGGAATGAAGCAGGATGCTGAGAAGCAAAAGTAAGTGCTTTTACTTTCCCAAAGGACGCCCCGTCGCAGTGTAAGTAAGGATGCTGGCAAGACATGTGAGAGTTATCAGGACATCGTCCGGCCAATCGCATTGCACAGTTGTAACTGTTGAGCCAATCGCATCTCTAGCTTTGCTCTTAGTGCTCCTTGAATCCGAATCCGAGTTTGTAACAGCGGTTATCTTAGGCATCAAGTTCGTCCGTGCCAACTGACCCCCCCTCCCCCCAAGTTCCAGACTATAAATTACATTGCGCCACCATCGCAGCACCGGCGCAACACTGCAGGTACCAGTTTGCGAAACGCAAATCTAGTCAGGATAACCTGTATCATTTCCAATGCTCGTTCGTGACAATGACCCACTTGGAACTTTTACGTCTTGGCATTTTCTCGCGCGAGCTCGGGTGAGTTTCAAGCCCATCATCATTTCACCTAGTGACAAAACTGCACAAAGCTTTAAACCCAAACGGTCAAGCACATGCGGCTTGCCAAGCCTGTCAATAAAGTAGGGGATATCCAGGCTGGCAAGCTTGGTTGCGTAATACTCAGTCATCAGGGGTGCGACTCAGAAATGATCGATGGGAAGTGGGCTCATCACGGTTCACGGGACACTGCACTAGCACAATATTAGTCGTTGATTGCGAAGTAAGGCCCGGTGATGATCCTATATACCACCGCGGACGCTCCGATTGCCATCAGGTTGCGCATTTGTCTGTCTGAAACGTTCGAGAAGCAACATCCAACCTTGGAAGGTTTTGTGAGAGGCCGGGAAATCGTCCGTACGAAGTCGGGGCTGAGGAGCGCTTACATGCTAGCGATAATAGTGCTAGGAAGCCTGGAGGTGAGTCGGCGGCCCCCAGAGTACGCTACGGCGAAGTGCCGAACCAACTAAATGCACTTCCAAACTTGAAAAAAAAAGAACCTAACGATAACTTATGACTGACGTACACGCGTGTATCGTGAATCTGGATTCAATAGACAGAGATTTGTTGACCAGTGCCTGCTGAAGGGACGAAGCGCCGGTGACTATATCCTCCCAGGCGCATGGGCTAATGCCCACCACTCAGGTGGCTGAGAGAACGCGGACGGCATCGCCTGTTGCCGTGACCGTGGGCATGCGGTGACACCCGTTCGAAACTCAGAAGGCTCAGCCATCGAACTAGCCATCAATTAAGAGATTGCTTCACTAAGAGGGTGTACATGGTTGGATAATGTCAGTCTCAGAGACACCACAGTTGCCTGACCATCGTGAGAATCAGCTCATCCGGCGAATCCGGGAAGGGAAGAATGTATTCACGGATACGGAGGGCGTTCTCTCCCGATTCCCTTTCACAGGGGCTCAAGGAAGGATTAGTCGTGTCCCTGAACAGAGTGCGTGGGCTGCTTACTGGTTTGATGAAGGGCGGACACGCGGTGTTTATCACTTCAGGGGATCAGGTATATCGCTCCTGGGTTTGTGCAGAGCACCTGCAGCACAGCTACAGTAGTATCTGCACCTGTATTAGCAAGACGGACTATTCTAAGCTACCAAAGGGCGTGCCCCCTCTGACTAGTTCACCCTCTATCCGTCAGTCTGGCAGCGACTTGCGTCCCGCAACACCCACACTTACCCACGCCCCCAGTATCATACTCTCCCCGCATTAATGCTTGATGAGATGCAGGTTGCATGATCGCAAGGGGCTCTGCGACAGCGGCAGCGACGGTTGGGCTCGCTTCAAATGAGCCGGTTAAGCCTCAAGGGGTCGAGGGAGCGTGATCCCCCAGCTGTGAGGTTTCGAGCCGTAGCTGTTATACTACGGCTATTTCGCCTCTGCCATAGCCGCCACGGTAGGCGGCGCCCCCGCAAACCTGCCGCGGCTCGATGTCAACGGTGAACATCGTAGAACATAGTTGATCGAAGCGGGTCATAAGATTGACAGGGCAGGCAAGCATCGTGTTTGCAAAGCGGAGTAGCCGTCCGCACACCCGACGCTGTCACTTCCCCAGGTTTTGGTGTATGCCACGATCCCGGCTTCACTGGTCAGGGAATCTGGGGTGCATGAGGGAAGCAAGTTCTAGTGCATACCATAGTATCCAATGAATGAATCAAAGTCTTCTATAATGTAATGTCCAAATGTATCATATGCAAGACTCGCCCCAATTAAATTCAGCTATGTTTGATCGTGAGTAGTTCCATGATAGTTGCTCGAGCTTGCAGCCAGTGTAGGGTGCACAGCAAATATGTCATGCCCATATTGGACAGCCTCCATGTGTGGCTGGAACAATGTCGTCCCGTATTGCTTCAAGAGAACGAAAACTTAGCAAACTTGTGCGGGGACCCGGCCTGTGAGTGGTGAGGATCTCAGTACGAGTGAAGCGTCGCAAACTCGCAACAAGCCTCTTCGCCTCTCGCCCCAAACAGCATGCGCAAATGTATGTGGAAGCCCCAAGCCTCACTGACCTTCAGGAAGAAGTATAGCTTTCGCTAGCTCAGCGTCGCTAGAGAGTCTGACATTCAGTGATTCATGACTCTTCTGTGAGTGGGATTCTGTATCAGCTTGACTCCTACAGAGATAGGAAGGTCAAGCTGTATGGTCACACATTTCGGGGCTTGTTACAAAGTGGGTGAACTCTGGCGCCCGTATGCATGCGACGGGACCCAGAAGGCACAGATTGGTCATCTTTTCGAGGAAAGAGCGAAGGGGCCTTGTCGTTATGCATGTTCATTGTGCGGGCCCTCGTGCTAGAACCTGCAGCGTATTGCGGACCCCCTCCTCGGTCGCAATACGCAGCCTCTCAAGATGAAGCAATTTTATTGTATACCGGTAGCACCGGCCAAGCTATCACTTCGGTGGTGATGCAGCACCTAGCATTTGCAAGGCTGTGAGCTAGTTCAACGGCCCGGCAGGCGCTGCTCTCGTGTGGGTGTGGACCAAGTTCTTAGCATGTGACGACTAAACTGGATAGATTTATGAAGATCGTTGAGAGAGCCATGAAGCAGTGCCATCCCTTTCCATCGGCCAACATGTTTCAGTTGATGGGAGTTTTGTTCAACATACGGTGCCCACGTGGGGCTGAAAACTCAGCTTGAAGATTCTGATGATCCGGTCAAGTCACGAAATGAAGCTCCCAATTCTGCGTCTTCTAGAACTCCTGTTGTAGCGCGTACCTGAGATAAGCGTGGGATGCCTAAGAATTCTCCGTCCCAAGAAGATTTGAGCGGATCCAATGTTATGTTCTGTTACAGAACCATTACGGCCATCTTGTTAGTATATAGACCGTTCGCATTGTTGGTGTGCTGGCAAGGGACTATACGGCCAGTTTGCGGTGTTCCGCATATAGACGAGAAACGGTGACGTTGGGCCGACCACATATCGGAGGTGGGTTCACAGCCACTACAAGCTCGCTTAAAGGCGCAGGATTTCTCGGCTTCTCCTGCATGGCGGGGACCGCGATGCCACAGAACAAAGTTTGACCAAAATCCGCCGACACAATTAGCTCACGCTTCAACCAACGTATGTATCGGTGTATATACTTGAGTTAGCAGATAGACCATGTTCAGTACTAATGACTCCTTTGTGGATACCGAAATACAAGCCTGTCTTCGGGTCGAGACTCACGCTCGGTCCCTGGGTGAGTGGGACCTGGTGTGGATATCATTGGGTGTAGCGCGAAGGTCGTGCCATGCCTTCACGAGAAGATCGTTATCGGTATCAGGTATCGGGTTTCAGGTGCTATGGCGGCGTGCATATTTTGACGTTCTGACGTCTAGTCCTTGATCACTATGGGTACGCCGATGACGGTCAGGTACCGTGAAACGGGACGGACGCTGTTTCAGCAGATGATGGCATTCCAAACCAGCAGAGCTCCAATCGTGGCGCGCCAAATATCGGCGAAGGGGAGGTATATCAGGCGCTTTAAGACGATATCTCCGACGCTGATGTTGCGCAAGAGTGCCTCGGGAGTGTTATTATGGTCAGGCGCTACAAGCCACAACCTGGAGAAGCTGCCAGCAGTTATTGGTACTGGGAGCAGGCAAGGATTGGCGGGAAGCTGACGTGCGGTGTGAACTTCGAAGAAGCGGGGCTCTTTGCGGTTCGCTCCTAGCGCCGACTTTGAGAAGTGCATCTCCCACCGGTTAATATGCATTTAGCCATGCTCGAATCATGCGCTAGGATTTTCTGACCCTTGCCACGGTCCCCTGCTACGGCGTTCCTAACCCTTGCCACGTCTTGCCCCAGAGCCTGGTTGCCGTAGCCAATGGGTCGTAGCTTTCATACATCCATGAATGCTCGAATTAAACACTGCGTCTTCTGATATTGCACTCCAGTTGATCTCGCTTCTCGAAGCCCGCGTGGACGCATGGAATCTTCAAGCCACAGATCGTCACACTGACCCTTGGAATCGTCTTTGCACCTTAGGACATCTTACAGTCGGGGTGCACCCTCGGCACCTAAAGCTTTGTCGGAGGCCCACATATGCTCCCCAAGTATCGCATGACCCGTGGTCGTCCCCAGATTTCCGGCTACCGACTCCTTCGTCTTCAAGTACTCCCGCGACGTCACCCGCGCGCACCAACTGCCGTTCCTTTCGAGTTCGCAGGTCTCGAATTGGGTTGCCACATTGCAGGAAGCAGTACGTCGGCCATGTTTGGCGGGGGCCGGTTGGTGCTAATCTCATGTAGGGACCAGTTGAGGTCGTAATCGTCACCACAACCAACAGACGCAGCCATGGAGACCACGACAGCAGAAACACCCAAGCTCGAGCGTCGGAGCTCAGCACCAGTAAAGCGGAGAGTTAGCCGAGCATGCGATCATTGCCATCGAATGCGAACAAGATGCAACGGCCAAGCTCCGTGCTCGCGCTGCATAGAGCTCGAATACGTTTGCCAGTACAACCGTGAAAAGAAACGACGTGGAAAAGTAAGCAACTCCCAACTATCGATGACCACCAGCCCCAACCGCGTGGACATCGGTACGCGCATGCATTGCGACTGTCTGGTGCATCGAGGAGCTGACGCATTACAGGTTCCACGGCACATTCAGAAGCAGAGAGAAGAGGCTGCTGCTGCTGGTAGCCCGCAAACCCCTAATGGCATTTCTAGTTATTACGAGAGGCCTGGTGTCATGGCCGAGATGGATGAAGATGTTTGGTCGCAATCAGAAGCGACGCCAGTCGTACAGCACTTTCCAGCTGGTAAAGGTGGTCTACCTGCGGGCGATTGGCAAGCTCTGAACCCTGGCACAACATTCGATCCACCTGTCAACCACATGATGATCGATCCATTACTCCTTGGTTCAAACGCTGCGTACCCGACGATGCACGCCGAGATGCCTCGCGAAGAGCTCATGTATGCCATGAATGGTACGTACGATGGACGAGCCCGGAGTACTTCGCACCACTCGCAGTCTGTGTACATGTCTCGTTTGTCTCGTATGTTACTCAAGATGCCTCTTGCGTATTGCGATACGTGTTGAATCGGAAGAGTTGCTGACTGCCATAGGCATGCATCTCATCCCCGGCCCTAACGGAACACCGGTTTCGATCCCCCCTGAGTACGCCAACATGGCCTACCCAATGCAGTACCAGCAAGCTGGAAGGCAATCATCACCCCGTAGTTATGGTTCCGTCGACACAGGATCGCCACAATCGGGAGTTAGCGTAAACTCTTCGCAAAACGCCCCTGCCATAGCCGCCTGTAGATACCCAGTCTTGGGACCACTGCTTCCCCATCTAGGACCAATACTGAATGTCACCACCGCATGCGACCTGCTCGAATTCTACTTCCAAAGTTCCTCGTCGGTATTTATGGAACCAGTTTCACCGTATATTCTGGGGTCTGTCTTTAGGAAGCGAAGTTTTCTACGACAACACAAGCCGAGAAAATGTAGTCCCGCTCTGCTTTCGAGTATGCTTTGGGTCGCTGCGCAGACCAGCGAAGCAAGCTACCTGACCTCATCGCCGTCTGCAAGAGCTATTATCAGCCAGAAGTTGTGGAAACTGACTGTGGATCTACTCAAACCCCTCGTTCATTCTCCATCCTCGCATGGGTTCGCACCAGGACCTGGACTGACATCCGCCGCACACGACGCCTTTGGAGTTGATCGAGCGATAGGACGCTACGATGGAAGACCTGACGGTGCCATGCCACCCACAAGTACATTGGACGATGTCGCCACGTATATCAATCTTGGCGTAGTCACTTCTGCAAGCGAGTACAAGGCGGCTTCCCTACGGTGGTGGAACGCGGCGTGGTCGCTAGCCCGAGAGCTCAAATTAGGCCGAGAATTACCACAAGGACCTGTTAAAGAGCGAGAGACAACCGCAACAGATGGGGAGATAGAAGTGAGCATGTCGGATGGCTCTAGTGCGCAAGCGCCTGTGGGCACCCCAGCCGCAGCAGTCGTGGAGGAAATGAAAGAGGAGAGGCGTCGACTGTGGTGGTTACTTTACATGGTCGATAGGCACCTTGGACTATGTTACAACCGACCCTTGGCCATGCTTGATAACGAATGCGAGGATCTGTTTCAGCCAGTTCCGGACACGCTCTGGCAAGCGGGCGAATTCTATACAGGCCATCCTGGAGCGCGAAAACGGGGACTCAACTTCGAGTGTACATCGTATGTATAGCCCGCAACTGAAAGACACCGCTTCCAGGTGATCTTTTAGCGCATTCTGATGCGCCTGAGGACTATGCTAATCTATACAGGCATGATATATTCGGTTTCTTTCTGCCATTAATGACAATTCTTGGAGACATTGTCGATCTAAACGCCCAGAAAAATCACCCCAGATTCGGTCAGCGGACATCCTGGGAGCTTCACGAAGCAGAAATCACCCGCCAGTTGGAGCGGTACGCGTACAGCATCGAAGACTTCAAGGCACAACACGGCTGCGGCTCGAACGAGGAAGCTCAATCGAACAGTACACCCGACCCAGTCCGCAGCGAATGGATTCACCAGACCAGGAAAGTCGCAGCCTATGCTACTCATATAATGCATGTGTTGCATATCCTGTTGCACGGCAAATGGGATCCCGTGGCACTTCTGGAGGATGACAATATGTGGATATGCTCACAGTCCTTCCTTGCGGCAACATCCAACGCGATATCGGCTGCCCACGCTGTGGAGGTAATATTAGACGTGGATCCGGATTTGTCGTTTATGCCCTACTTGTTCGGCATGTATCTCTTGCAAGGAAGCCTTATCCTGCTTCTCTTAGCCGACAAGTTGTCTACTGAGACTAACGACGGGGTCATTCGCGCATGCGAAACGATTGTTAGGGCGCACGAGGCTGCGGTCGTAACTCTCAATACGGAGTATCAGGTAGGCTGTTCCTTTCATGTTTGTTGCCATTACACCGCTAACTTGACGCAGAGAAACTTCCGCAAAGTGATGATTTCAACATTAGCGCAAATCAAAGGCCACGGGCACGCAAGAGAGATGACGCCTGCGAAGAGGCGAGAAGTATTATCCTTATACCGCTGGACGAGTTTGGGGAATGGGCTGGCTATCTAAGTGAATTGGAGGACATTTAGAAGCTGGTGGTGGACATCGGCGTCTGGCGCGACTCGCACAAGCCTGCGGGCTGTATATGTGGCTGGATCGTTGTACAACTATGGTTTCCTTTTCTATGCGTGGTTATGAAAACACGTGAACGGGCGCATAATTTCGGCTTCGTGCGGCTGCATCTGGCCTCTTTTATTGGAGCGATTGGCTATGCTGCATGATCAGCCACCCGTAAATATCATTCAAAATATCAACGTAAACTCAATCGCTGTTCAACCACCATTGCGCGTATATGCTGCGTCACGATCACAGGCAAACTGGGAAGTGCAAGCCTGTCGTGAATTGCGTCGTCTGTGGCAGCTGCCGCGACTGCCGCTCGGGCAGAAAAGGAGTAATGACAGCGAAACGTTGGCGTTCGACCTAGATTTTACGCTTGGTCCTGCGACCGCCGAGACAAGGATGCTGCTCTGCTTGTCGCTAGGGTAGCCAGGTTCTAGATGCGACGCGATTATCGGGGTGGCAGCAAGCAGCCGCCCGAGACAAGGCTGTGAGATACAAATCAAATGAAGGTGGAGCGAGAAACTGTTTCTGCTGTGTGAGAGTCACAAGGAAGGTGCGGCCGTCTTGCGCTAGTTTGTGATGATGCTGCAAGGGTAGCTGCGACCCTCCGAGGTTCCTCCTTAGGCGCTGCCAATTCTGACGTAGTGCGCTTACTCGAACTAAGCTCCGCAATGAAAACAACCAAATAGGATATCTATCATAGAACGTTTGTATACAACAACGAAAGCACCACAAATGCAGACACGTGCTTTTGCCCCAGACTTTCAACAAAGTATGTGTAGAGAACGTAGCACAACCCATCATGAACGTAAGAAAACATGACGTAAACTAACTATAACTTCTTCTCTATCTCCATGACCTCTCTGATACCTTCCGCGACAGCGTCGACCTTCTCTTGTGGTAGTCTCTTGAGTGGCTTGCGGGGGTAGCCACCGTAGCCATAATATGACTGAATTGCTGACTTAGTTCCAGGGATGGCGGCCTTTGTGAGGACCCAGTCGCCTTTGCTGAGCACCTTTTGTAGCTCAATTGCCTCGTCGTACTTTCCTTCCGCCCATAAGTTCCAGACCTTGACGCATGTCTTTGGCAGGACATTAGCACCGCCAGCGATGATTCCTGATCCGCCACTAGCAGCAGTCTGAGCTGTGAAATCGGCCATACCACCAAAAGCCATGTAGCCACTACCATTGCTCTTCTGTGTGCAGGCATTGGTAGCAAGGGCGACACGAGTGAGCTTTCCAGTGTTGCCGCATGTAAATTTAGTACCGACAATGTTAGGGTGTTTGCCAAGCTTGATGATGAGGTCGCTGTCCATATCGATACCGGCAACGGCTCCTGGATAGTTGTATAGGATAATTGGGAGGGGTGAGCCGTCTGCAACCTTGGTGAAGTACTCGTAGATGGCCTCTTCATCCATGGCATAGCGGTAGTAGCTTGGAGGAACGGTAAGAACGTACTCGCCGCCCGCTGCCTCTGCTTCTTTGCAAAGCTCAATTGTGAGCTTGATACCGTGTTCAGAAGCTCCAACGATGACCGGAACGTTTTGGTAGCCAGCCTCATCGAGAGCTTCGCGAGTTGCTCGCGTGACAGCGGTTTTCTCGGCCCGTGACAGGTGGACAGCCTCTCCGTTGGATCCCATAGTAACAAGACCAACAAGACCAGCCTCGGCTAGTCGTACTGCATGCTTCTTGATTGTGGGAATATCCAGCTCCTCAGTCTCTGGGTCGAAGAAAGTCATGGTGGGTGAGTAGATACCCGGTCGGAGAGGGGTGCGTTCCTTGGAGTGGCCATTGGCCCCATTACCATTTGCTGCCATGTTTGCTATATGTCTGGTCAAGAAAGACTAGCGAGTGTCGATGAAGAAGGCAGGCTATATACGAGAATGCAAATTTCGGGAGAGAGAGAGGAAAGGGAGAACAATATCGATGATTCAAGTACGGGTTCGGTCAGCTTTAATATAGCAGCGAGATGGAGGCAATCGGCGCAAAGTAGGTCAGAGGAGCTAAGTTCGGCAGAGCTCACGTCTCATCCCACACTGACTGGCGTGTCTCAGTGGCTCTACCGTTTTCGAGATCTCGTCAAATGCGCCTCGATGATTCGCCAAGGGCAGCGACAGCGAGGGCTAGACTGGAGTTTGGGTGCAGGGCTGTGGGCCTTCTGGCGAGCTCGGGACACCACTGCGCGAAATGCGGGACATTGTGCGGCCTTTTCTATGGGAGTGACTAAAATCGGCGGTTGTGTGATGGGATAGAGCTGCATCTGGGGCAGGGTTAGCTGTCGAACATAGTGGCACAGCATGGCCGTGTTGGACGGGTGGCATTCTTCCACCAATGAGACATGGGGTGGCGCGTGGGGGGGCTGCGACTGTCCCTCTTTGCTTGGCCCTGGGGAAGTTCGCTACCCCTCGGAGACAATAAACTCCAGCAACCGCGCACACCCCAAGAGATTTCTCCAAGACACTTCTGGCGTGCTGAGACCAGCCCGGCTGCCTTATAGATGGCTTGGAGACGCCACAGTCATCGAAAACGGGCGCAAAACAATTGCCCTCAGCAAGACTCCGCCCCCACCGCGACCAAAGGCCTCGAATGATGTAACGTCATCCGGCCGCGGCTGCCGGCAGAACGCGTGAGGGCCTCGTGCCCCTCATCGCGTTGCTGGGCCATATATCTTCCGTCGTTATCGATAAGTAGTCAAAGGCCGACGAAGCTATGTCGGGTATTGAGCGAGCGCATCCCCTTGAATTCAGCTCTTGTGTCGTCTCATTTCCCTCGGAAATCCGACAGTAGCTGAGGAACGTCTCAATTCATCTTCGCAAACGTCCGGATCTCAAAGGAAACGGTCATCATGGCGCCAGTAGAAGTCCTAATGGTATGCTGCCCCTCATCGGCCACCTAACTGCAGCTGTCTCGCATACATGCATTCATGCTCTTCCGTTACAATGCGTTTACAAAGCTGATTGCAAATCTAGGTTGGTACTGGAGAGTATACGACGGGATTCGTAGGAGGAGGCGCATCCAAGTCGGATAAGAAGGTCGGAGTCGTAGGACTGACGCTGTTCGACCTCCGAAGACGTGGCAAGGTTGGCAAACTATCTATGGTGGGCACATCGGGCGGCAAATTCCCCGCAATCCGTGAGTTGCACGGCGTCTGAATTGCTCTCCCCATGTGGCATGCTAATCTCTGCCAGGCGAGCATCTCCAAAAGAACATCTCCGAAGCGTACAACAACTTGGATGTGTCATTTGAGGAATTTCCCAAAGAAGGGAAGACCGACCCGAATGCGTACAAGGCCGCGATTGACGCGCTTCCCAAGGGGAGTGCCAGTAAGTTACAGCGCATATCGGCTCTGATGTGTACTTCCTCTGATATCTCCTAGTCACCATCTTCACACCTGACACCACCCACTACCCAATCGCTTTGTACGCCATCGAACGCGGGATTCACGTCCTCATCACAAAGCCTGCAGTAAAGTTACTAGAGCATCACCAGGAGCTTTTGGCAGCAGCAAAGAAACACAATGTCTTCGTCTACATTGAGCATCACAAGCGGTACGATCCCGCTTACGCGGACGCGCGTTTCAGGGCACAGAAGCTGGGCGACTTCAACTACTTTTACTCTTACATGAGCCAGCCAAAGTACGTTTGAACTTGTGAAAGCGGAAATCACAGTAGCTGACAGGACAACTAGGAGCCAACTGGAAACGTTCAAAGCCTGGGCAGGTATCGACTCTGACATCTCTTACTACCTCAATTCTCACCACATCGATATCAACGAGTCTATGATTCCTGATTGGAAGCCGGTACGCGTCATGGCTAGTGCCGCTAAAGGTATTGCGACGGGATTGGGATGTGATCCCGCTACCGAGGACACTATTACACTACTCACAAACTGGGTGAAGAAAGATGACCCAAGCAAGGTTGGGACCGGTGTTTACACAGCTGGCTGGGCAGCACCACAAAAGGCTGGTGTACACTCAAACCAATATTTCCACTACATGGCGTCGACAGGAGAGATCCGCGTCAACCAGGCAAAGCGCGGCTACGATGTTACCGACGACGAGGGTGGCCTCCTTTGGTACAACCCGTGAGTTTAAGCACCAAAACATTGCCACCTCGCGTGCTAACAATCTTCAGGTTCTACATGAAGTATGCTCCTGACGAGGAGGGTAATTTCGCCGGCCAGATCGGTTACGGGTACATCTCGTTTGAGAAGTTTGTTGATGCTGTCAACAAGCTCAACGCAGGCGAGGTCACACTTGACCAGCTAGACGCGCGGCCGCTACCAACTTTGAAGAACACTATCGCGACAACTGCAATCCTCGAGGCTGGCAGAAGATCGCTCGACGAGAACCGACCTATTGATATCATCGAAGAGAACGGTGTCTGGTCTTTGAAGTAGTTCACTTTTGTGTAACCAAAAGCGATATGTCACTGCTCAATTGGACGCGAATCCCACATGCTTTCTAGTTAGTGTCTTGCTTGAATATGCCTTGCTTACCTTTACTCTGAGTTACACAGTCATTGTTTACTCATCAGCCACGGATCGCTAGCCTGATGTGATCGTCGCATCCGTGATGGCGCGGTTCCACGTGGTTACTGACACGCCGTTGCTGGGCTCCACCCCCACAACGCCAGGTTACCAGATAGTCATACCCAGAAACAAGGTCGTGACAAGGTCAAGGGTCTCCACAAAGTGGCGTAGGTAAAAACAAGGGCCTTCTGAAAACCGGGAGATCATCGGGTGCTCTAGTCAGTTTCTGCCACTGGTTCGGGCAAACACCCACCGAGCAGGCAGGCTAGGGAGGACCCGAGACCGAGAATGCCCACTCCGACTCCGACACTCTGTCTCCCTAATTACTGACTCTCTGCCTTAGTGTAGCACAGGCCGATGGCTGGCTATCCTAGCTCAGATCTGTGGAAGGCTTTCGTCGTTGTTTCGAACTCTAATTTGACGTCGAAGACGTCAACTCAAATCCAACGTCGTGGTCACCCTTTGCGTAAGACTATGCGGTTGTCATTACTCAGCAGGGGCGTACGCAAGCACGTAGTGAAACACGCTTGTTACCTACCCATTGTGATTTTCATCAGGATGTACAAAATGTTGCCACTTCATGTATCTTTGTTTAGTGATCAAGGGGCCTTTGCAGCCACAGAGCCACCACAGCCACACAAAGAACTGCTTCATCGATGCAACATCTTCGGTGACTCTTCGAAAAAGTCTTTTACATTCACGCGCAGGACGACAGATGGCTGACGTATACATCACAAGTTCGACCTTCATGAGTTTATTACGATCCCATCTTGGTTGTCTGGCCGGTACAGATACTGTGATGAACATTGAACGCGTACAAAAGCTGCAGAATGTTGAGAACTGGTTAAAGACGCTTGTCACAATCGAACAAGAGCTACTGAATTCCTTCTTGGTCGGTCGTTTGACTTGACTCCAACGACAGCTCAGGCGGAGGAACATGACCTTCTCTTCAGCAAGGACGACGCTGACACGAGAGATGGATGTAAAAGAATAGACCGCATCATTTTGGGGCATAAGAATAACAGTAGTGAGTAAGAGGGACTCACTTCGCAACACTGCCTTCACTTAGCTCGATATGATCAACGTATGGGTCCTAGACGGAATTCTAAATGCAGGCTTCGATGCTATCAGCTGTGTTTTCCCATGTGAACAGCACGACATCGCTAATGTCGAACGGGAGTTTGCTTGCGAGCTGTAATTCATCGGCTGTAGCAATTCAGAAACTTTGCAACCCACCAAAGAACTATAGGAGAGGTTGGAAAAGACGAAGTTCATTTTCATGCCCTCCACAAGCGGTGAGTGGAACATAATATTTGAAACTGGCATGTCGCTTGACACGCACTGGACTATTTTGATCATCGACTGCTAACAGTCCATCATCCACGTACGGCACTATGACTCGAACAACTCTGGCATTAAGATGAGAAGCTTGGCTGCCACTAAGCTGGTTCTCTTAGCAGTCAGCAGCGTCTATGAACAACTACGACCGGACCACAGCCATAACAAACGCTCGAGGCTAGGTAACATCATTCTGGGGGATCGAACCTCAAACAAGATTTGTGATAACCAATGTATAGTTGATGCTGCGGGAGCTTGTGGATCTTTCATATTGGTTTTCGCAAAAGATGTTGTCCAGTCAGCTCCTGAAGGTAAAGAAGATGCCAAGCGCTTAAAAGGCATGCTGATGTTGACGCTACCCTACTGGCTGGTTTTGCGTATTGCTGGCCATAGAATCCAGGAAAGGCAGGCTTTTATTCGTCCTAACAGGCCTACTGTCATGACGTAGGTACTCAGCTAAGATAAGCAGGTGGCATCAGAGACGCCAGATCACTGTCACCATCTCAATCCTTCTCATGTCCAACCTAAAAAGCCTTCGTACCAGAATGATGCCGAGGTTTCCACAAAATTGAGGTGCGATCGATCGGTGTTAGCTGAGTGTTATGCGGGCCAGCGAACAACCTCTGTCAAGGCCGACATTAAACCGTCAGCATTCTCGCACAACTATGAGGCCACCTCCAGATACTCGAACGGTGTTCACAATGTAATAGTAACACTAAAGCGTATTCAATTCTTCATAGTCTTGATATCGTCCTTTTGTCTGGGGTTATATCGATTCTACAGCATGGAATACATCACTAAGGATTCGATATTGCAGTGCCATAGAGTCGCTTCTAGGACAGGAAATTGGAAGACATTGGGCAGGACAGCACGGTGATCTTCGCTTTGCCTTGTTTGCAAGGACGTTACACCTCTATTTCACCTAAATCTTCGAGCTTGACAGCTCGTTCAAGCAGTTCGATCGTGGCGTATTATCCCCGTGGAATTCATAATCTTCCATGATGAACGTCTCCTGAAATCCATTCCTTAAAGTTCGACTCCATAGCCTCTTTTCATCATTATAATGAAAACGGGTGGATCAGGCTACTTAGGTAGAGCATAGCTAATGTTGGACGAACCGTTTCAAATGTTCTTCGCTCAAACTTGGAAATCTGCGTAAACTGGACAGCCAGCTAACTGATTGGTGACAGTGTCTAGCATCAACATGATGGAAGATGTCAGGGCTAACGGATATCTCAGTGCTTTTTCTGAATCAGAAAATCACGAATAACGAGCTAGGAACGAACAGTGACGAATTCTTCCTGGAATCTGAGATTAGTCTTGGTGTTCCACGCTCTGAATTCATCGCACTCTTGCGTAACAATGACCCCAACAAGTGGAGGCTTTGATGTATATGAAGGGGTTCATAGCAGGAAGTATCGCTCTTGGTAAATCTAAAGTCTAATGTCTCCACCAGCAATAAAGCTTACCAGACCATTGCCGAAACAGAAGCATCGACATGGCTGCGATATCAAAGTATTGGCATATTTTTCGATCTGCTAAGAAGGACCTCCGAGTGTGAAAATTACGCAACTGCCTTCTCAAGTACGATTTTCGCCAGAGACATTTTCGTCACCAACAGAGATGTCATTCGCACAGTAATCGGCATTGAATACTGTACAAGACACTGACTGAATATAACATCCACATGAATTGACGTACTGCCACAGCCTGGGGATCTTACAGGACGATAGACATGGCTCTGGAGTTACTAGCCAAACTTGCATTACATTTGGGATTTTCCGCTTCTGACTAGAGAGCTTGAATATTGGTTGAGCAATTTTACGGTGTAGTTTCATTGCTCACTTCTTCTTACTGACATCTGAGTCACGAAATTGTACTCTGTGCATAGAAGCGACCTGAAGTAAGGACAAGCACACAAATATTGATGTTTGAGGTTCCAATGTAGAAAGCAACGAACAAACAGATGCGTAATATTCTACCTGAGAAGAACAGAAGTCTTAGGGTGTTAATCAATCAACCGTACTGGTGACCCAAACCGAGGCGCTGATACGCATCCCAAATAGCCTATTCATCCAACCTCTTCTCCTTTGACCACGGTTGCCATACAGTCATGGTACCCCCCTTCCCCCCCTTCCCCCCGTCCAGCACTCTACCATCCATGCAATTCTTCTATGCCGAGTCGCGATTCAACAATCAACTCGTCTTCAGCTCTTTCAATATCTAGTTTTGGGTTGGCTTATGCGCCTCTACTGAATCATGATTTCTGTGCCGGTCGTAGTCCAAAGGTACGTCAAGACTGATGCAGTCGTTTTTCGCAAAGTTGCGATCTTCATATCGATTGATGATATATTAGGTGTCAGTCGGGTAACAGCTGGGACTGCTTTGGCTATTTCGAACGGTGCAAGAACATGAATTGTCGGTAGTTGTGCCACTGACACAGTTGATCCCTGCCGTATGTAATAGGCTGCCCTCAAACGTGAGATATATCCCATACATCACAACGGAGAAGGCGGACTGTTCGCATACAGGAGTTGCTATGTTCTCTTGACATATCGACGTATTTTTTGTTGGGGCCTTTGTGAGTAAGAGAGCTTGATAGAACAATATTTACAAAAGGACAACGAAAGAGATGATATCTTTACGCTCTCAGCTCACCTGGCCAAGCACGAAGCAAGGATACAGCAGGTCAAGGGGAGAACGAGGCAAGACTACAAGAATACATCAAAGGCACAGTAGAAAGGCATAGATCAAAGATGTTCGTTGACATTGGTACGCGACTCGATTGCTGGCCCTTCATCAAAGCTGTCCATTGGATCATGATCTTTCGATGCAATTTCGACCAGGAAATACAGCGACAGCAAGGTGACCATACATGTTCGTGCCTCCATTAGCGAACTCGGTTTCTTGCTTCACTACATCATAGAACGGTGCGCAGCCCTGTTCTATCCCATGCTCCCGTCTCTCTCGTCTCTGGTGACAGCTTAACTAGCCTTTCCAACCTCGTCCAGCCTGGTCAACATACTCTGGACCTCTTTGACGAGGGCCTTGCGCTTGAGCCTCGCGTCTGGATCACCCTCAGTCTCGACACCATCCAGCTTGAAGATAATCTGTGTCAAGATAGTCTCACTTAGCTTCTTATACTCGAACGTCCTCTTCGCCTTGTCCTCTGGTGGTCCAGCCATGAATTGTACGCACATGGGGACAAATTCGGTGTGAAACTTGCTAGCGATGGCATCAAGTTTGCCGATCGGGGTCTGGGGTTCGGCGGGTTTGGTATTCAAGGGAGGAGCAGAGGTTGGGCGCGGGGTTGCGTTGATGTGCGAGGGGATGGGGAGGTATTCCGCGCCGGCGCCGGCAGTGGTGTAGCCAGGTGTTGAAGTGCCAGATGCGTTTGCGGAAGAAGCGTTCTTCTTCTTACCCTTCCTACCGCCGCGCTTGCGGGACTTCCTCTTGCTTGTGGTATTTGCACCCGAGTCGACATCATCTTCATCGTCGTCATCTTCATCCTCACCTTCGCTACCGTATGCGCGTTGTGTCTCTCCTGCGCCGGGTGCCAGACCGCCTGCCGGGGTCTCGCCGACTGTGACTAGAATCTCACTACCACTCCCATCGCCGCGAAGGCCTTCCTCTCGTCCGGTGCGTTCATCGTGCTTCAGGTTTCTGCCCTTGTAGAACATGCGTATGCGCCGATGGTCATCGACGCCTAGCTTCTTCGCAGCCGCTTGGCGCACTGTGCCAATCTTCAGATCTCCGTCCCGTATGCTGTGCGCCGGGAAGTGTGTGGGATAGTTTGTGCGCCCATTCTTGAAGATGAGAACGTCTGTCTCTCGCTCCGGGTTCTTGTCGTCCCAATCTACGATTTCAGGCGCTTGCGCCTGACCGTTCCTTCGCAGATCTTCGTTCGTAATGTATGAGAAATCCGAGTCATTGACGACCCCGGCATTTGGTGAGTTGCCTGGTCGCCCGAAGGGTGAGAAGCGCCCTCCCCAGTTTCCGCCGGTGCTGCGAGAGAACCAGGACATGGTTACGACAACGGATGCTAGTGCGATAGCAAGGGTAGTAAGGTAGGTTGGATCGTCGAGGCGGGGATTCGTGAGAAACTCGGTGATGTCGTGGAGACGTGGATGTTGCAAGAATCGCACAAACCTCGAGAGCGCGTCTGTGGGCTGATTCTCTTTATCGTGTATCGAGGAGGACGTCGTTGAGCTGAGTAGTGAGTCGGAGTTGAAGAAGTTGAAGGAATTCTTCAATTCGTCGACAAGGTTGCTTAGCGACGCCACGGTGGTGGAGTGAAAGTCGCCCTGCCAGTGTAGCAAGGCCGTAAGCTGTCCGCGCGTACTCGAATGACGTAGTAACTTGCTAGAAAAGCCCTTTTGTGTGTAGTGGGGGCTTCTATAAGCGGTGTGAATTTATGAGACCCGACGTCGGTTCGGAATCTCCGACCGCTGCACGCGGAGCTCGACCCACTTCATTGCACATGTCCCTCGGCTTAGTCATACACACTGCAACATTCATAATGCTTGATCGATCTTAGTTGTACAACTAAAAGAATATCGTTGCACGGCATCATACAACATATTTAGAGATATATCGGATTATCTGCCATTGTGTTCGACTGTCGTATGCCATTCATTTAGTGTATTATACACAAGCTAAGCTTAATCATGAGGACCGTTTTCGTAATGTTCATTGTCCATTGGACACCTGAGATCCAGAAATAAAGGAGAAGATTTTGAGGTTCACGCTTTACCAACCATTACGCCCCGAAGCAATTACAAACCTGAATGAAAGGAAAGAAGATGTAGCAGAAACAAAATGGCGCGAGTCGTAAGATGATGCACAGGCATCATGACCGGTACGCTAGCAAATGGCAAACAGAATACGTGAACTGAGAACAATGTTCGCCGTGTCACAAGACAACGTACGCCAGCTGTAGCTTGCAACGACGATACATCTCAATAGAGCTACGCTCAAGGCCCAAGGCAAACAAACTCAAGCTTTGTTTCGCTTGGGTGTAGCAAGGAAAGCAAGCCTCGACTTGCTGATAGCACCTGAACGTCCTGATGGAGTGTGGCGAGGCAGCTTGCTCGTGCTGGCAGGAGTTTTCGGAACAGGCGCAGGCGTGCGCTTCATCTTCTTGTTGGATCGTGTATCATCTTGATGGGGGCCGTCGTTCTCTTTGTCAGACGTCTCTTGGAGCGTCTCCAGTTTGCGCTTTGTACCGTCAATAGCAGAGGATACATTGCTCTCACGGACCATGCGGATCGTACCAGAAGACGTCGGTCCTGAGAAAGTTAGTGCATGCAAAGAGAACAGAACCCATAGTATGGACGTACCAAAGTTGACAGTCTTGCTAGACTCGAAGGAGAAGGAACGAGGGTGGTTGGGAGTTTCGCCACCGAAGGTGAGACGTCGTGACGGACTGAGAGGAGTCTCAGTCTCTTGTGAAAGGTCTAGGTGTTGTGCACCTGAGCCCAGGTTAGGGTAGATTACAGCACCAGCAGGAACTTCGCTGCCTGCTCTGAACTTCATCGGTGACGGTGATTTGCCTAGCTCGTCGTGTGATGCACGCTCCAAAGTACTACTGCTGAAGTTGACTTGTTTCTTGACAGGAGCTGTAGCAGGAATCACAGGCAGAGTGCTATCAGAGTCTGAAGCTGGAGGTGACAAGTGAGTGCCTGCCGCGATTTTACTAGGGTCGTCTGAGAATTTGCGGTTTGGCGTGCGGAGGATCGACCGGACACGCTGAAGGTTCTGGCTTGCCTACTGCTGTTAGTAAACACTTGAATGGATAGCGAAGAATACGCATACCTTGCGCATACTGTCACGTGCTCCGTCCCTCATAGCCTGCAAATGACCAATGTTGCTAGTGGGAGGGAATGAAGTACCCGCTGAAGGCAACCTGACACTGCGGTTAATGGACGGAGAGGCTCCCAGATTATTTGTGGAAGGTGAGCCTCCCAAGGTTGGAATCATCGACGTAGTCTTCAGAGTCTTCACACTCTGCGAACGTGCGATAGACGACTTTGTAGGTGTCATCAATCGCGCAGCTAGGCGAGGAAGCGCGGTCTGAGACGTCTTCTTACGTGCCGAGGTAGCAGTTACACGTGCTGGGACGTCAGTCGTCTTCTCCCGAGACGCAGGACGAGTGGTAGCAGCATCGTCTGACTCGGTACGCTTGATACGCTTTGCCGCCGCGTTGTGGTCACCATCGTTGTCGCGGGGGGCTGGTCGTCCGTCCCGTGAAGGAGGAGCCATGCGGGCTGTTGAATGAGAGCGTGGCAGACTAGATCCGACATTGTCCATCTTGGACTGGGTACGTTTCAACGGAGATGAAGGAATTTTGCTTCCAGACGCTGCCAGTTCCATCTTCGACTGTGTGTGCTTGAGACCACTGGCAGAACTCGCGCTTGAATCTGCCAGATCCACCTTGGATTGTGTACGCTTGAGCTTGTTCGTCTCCGGATTTGCCAAGTCTGGCTTCGAGGGCGACTTCTTTAGAGGATGGCCCACGACAGGCTTGAATCGGGTAGGGTCGGCGCGGAAAGCTGAAGGGTGATTCGCGATTGAATCCATGCTCTTGAACTGCTTCATGTGCACGTCACTGAAGCGAGCCATCTTGCCCTTAGCTTCGGCCTTCTTGCGCTGGGGAGATACGTCGGCCTTGGAAGACCATTCACTCGTGCCTATATCAAAATCAGTATTTGGGAAAAAGCAAAACAGGTTGAGTGGGCTATAACCGACCAAACAGAGCACGGCTCCCGCCGCCGGGAGTGCCTGTAATCCCAGCGTCTTTCAAGATGTTGCGCGAGCTTGGGCTCAGTGTAGCCTCATCTTTGGACAAGGGCGATTTGAAGCGGAAGCGGAAGTTGGGCGACGAGTCAAGCTGGGCCGTCGAAGCAGCAGGTACTGGGGTCTTTGATGGCGTCGCCTGACCTGCTAAGCCAGCCGCTTTGGACGGCGCGGTATGCGCACCGAGTGATTGAAACCCGAGCCAGCGCGCCTCGTCTAGAATCTTAGCTGTACTCGCATGATGGTGCGCGGGATGCATCTCCTGTCCTGCTGGCTTGATCGGGGTGCGATCCTTGGGAGTCTGGCTTTTGGCGACATCAATGGGCAACTTGGTCGATTTGTTCTTGTGTGATGTGGGTGTAGCGGTCGCATGCGGTAGCTTTGACTCGGCCTTGGTACCTTCAGAGGCTTTCGAGGGCTTCTTCTGCTCCATACCGGGCTCTGGCAACTCTGGAAGATCCGGGAGTCCTAGGTTTGGCGATGAGGCGGTATGCCAACTATCTTCGGATCGCATGGAAGTGTCGGGCGTGGTCTCACGCTACAGAAGACGCATTAGTAGATGTAAACAAATGATAAAAGCAATACGCGCGCATACCTTGAGCAAACGAGCTGATCGACGCGCCATGTTGTCACGAAGTGTCGAAGAATGATCCACAACTAGGTTGCAACACGAAGATGAGCGGAGATTGGGGCTGGTCTGTGGGTGGGGAGAGACCAAGACGGGGGAGTTATCGGCTAGGGCGTCGATAAACAAAGTGCACGGACGTTGTTGTCCCAAAGAGGAAGCGACGTCATGAGCCAACTCAAGAGACGTGTACGAAGAAGCTCTTTGGATTCAAACCTAATCCGTCTATACCATAGCTTCCGATTATGCATGATATCCTATGTTGTCTTCTTGTGAAAGCAACTGTATATACCTTTAGGATACGCTCTACTACTTGGGTGTACCTCAGCGAGAATATGTACGCATCTTCGAAAGCACAGGCTCAAGGCTTAGGTTTTGGGTTCTGGACTGCTAACTTGCGTATGTTTGTCTGCATATGCAGTGACTTGGACAAATGTGCTCGTTTCTGAGAGAAGAAGACCAAAAATTCCAAGGTCAAACTCCGCCTATACAAACCCTAGAACGAACCATGAAATTATACACTGTCATCTTATATGTAGAGTCGCCAGGCACATTACTACGTATACCTTCAGGATACATTCCAGTGATCCCAAGTACATCCAATCAGAAGCGAGCTCCTTCGCAGACAGCATGCGATAACTTGCAACGACGTACATTGTAACACGGATACAAATGAGTCTGAGCGTGATTCTATCGATCCCTGCTAAATTGGTTCATTGAGCCTGAAAATCTGCCCAACTATTGGGTCTTTGCATAGCCGCCGAATGTTGAATTCTGTCGATTCGTTCACCGGCCCTTCTGCGTCTCCCTCCCAAGCAGCGCGAAAGGCGGTTTCGCCAATCCAGCTTCGACACTCCTCTCTACCTCATCTCTCAGTCCCTCTATTTTTCTCTCCTCATCATCCCTCTGCCCCTTCTTCTGCTCTTCACTCTTCCAGACAAAGTTACCCGCGCCACCTCTCCCGCTTCTGGCGACAGGCATTTCCTGACCCTCAGGATGCCAAGGTGTGCTGATCTGTGGCTTCGATGACGTAGGGATTGCGGTTGCGTCAACAGCCTGTGTGAAGGTACCTTCTTTCTGAAGCTCAGTGGGCTGATACCAGTTGCCAGCACCGCCGCGACCCATGTGTGCGTAGTCTTGAGAGGAATTTGAAGGTTGCACTGGGGTCGAAGAGTGGATAGGTTGTGCATCGGTAGTGGAACGGTTGGCTTCAACGTCCTGTATAGACTGTTAGCTTTTTTGAAAGTCTATACGGTTGACAATGCAAGAGATGCATTAACTCGCCTCAACTGCCTTCTTGCTTTGCTCCTGCGCCGCGTAGTAATTACCTGCACCACCGCGCCCGTACGCCATCGCAATATAGTGCTCACCAAGATGACTCAGGTTTGCTGTTGGATATATTGCTATGTGTCGCAAAGACGCACAGGAGCTGTCCGTATGTCACAAGAGGAATGAATAATGTTCACAAGATAACGACGAGGAGGCTGAGCGTAATTACATTGTACGCGGCTCCGAGTGGGTCGTCTGAACTCATATCAATCCGAGCCCGACGTTCTGGACTGATAGCAACGTGGGGAAAGGCTTGTCTAAACGACGATCAACGAGACTCAATGTGGGGTCTGAATTGGTCATAAGCTTGGCAAACCGATAACGCGGGTTGCCAAGCAGGTTCCGCAGTTAACAAATACGGGTGCAAACCAGGTAAGAGGGACTTCTCTACATGTCTCAAGCACGGGCAGTTATTGCCACGTGTAATGCGTAGAGCATCGAGTTGAAAAGCTGAAGAGCTAAAAAATCGTAATATTCGCACATTGTGACTAACAAGTGTGAAGCTAAACATGCTACAGGAAGGCCTAGTCCCTGGTAGTGGCCATAAAACAAACAGAAGGAAGACATCGCTATCTCGATAAAACAACCATTGACCGTCAGCCCGGATAATGCCCCCAGATTTGGCGAACGCCTGAACACCATCCCACCGAGCTAAACTCCACGAAACCTCACGAACCCACAAACAGCACGGGCACTACTCTCGACCCTCTTGTACAGCACGCAATACTGGGTAAAGGTTGTGCGCATCATCATCGCTCATGCGGCGCTCATGCACGTGCTTGACGTCTTCCTCATCGTCAGAGAAGTCGTGAGAATCCAGCCTGTCCTTGAGGTATGCCCTAAGTCTTTCAATAACCCGGATGTTCTCAACCCACGATTGCTGAGACGAGTCACCTTGCTCTGTGGGGGTTGACGAAGCAACGCTTGGGGAGCGAAGAGCAGGGTCAACCTTAGGCGAGTGAATAGCCAGCTGATTAACGTCGTGGTGGAGACTGTTTTGCTCGGAATCCCGGCGGTCTTTGGGCGAAGCACCATCGCTCGAAGTATCCATGTCATTCTCTGATCGATCTGGGGCAGCCTTCTGCAGAAGGTTCCCAGAGAATCGTCGACGGCCATCAGTATCAAACGCAGGTGCAAGCCCAGATGATGGAGCCGCAGCTGACATATCCGACATGGCGCTGACAGATGGAAGAGTAGGGTACATGCTACCAATTGAAGTCCTTGACGTGGGTGATACACCGTTGTTTGAGGAGTGTTGCGCGCCAGGGGAATGCTGAGATCCGTACGATAGCACGCTCGATGCAGGAGTCAGAGCTGGGGTCTCGGCACTGGTTGACCCAATAGCAGTAGCGTGAGATGACTGGGAGTGGCTAGAGGAGAGGCCAGGCGGTGAGTTACTGGAGCGGTAGCCAGCGCCAGTGTGAACGTAATGGCTAGGATGAGCCACCCCAGCGGCTGCAGCGTGGTTGGGGTTCTCATAGACGGTGCTTTGCAATTGCTCCAAGAATTGGTCGATGTTTAGAAGATCGCTCTTGGTCCTCAGATTAGGAAGCGGCAAGGAGTAGGGGTGGTGCATGGGCGGGTGCTGCGCTTGAGCAACCATTGAGCCTCCGTGGCCATACTCAGACATACCGGCGCCCTGGTAGCCGCCTCCGCCACCTCCAAGTACTGGAAGCTGCACACCCTGGAGACCCATGAGTCGTTGACCGACATCATAGTAGGTGGTAGGGTCGATTGCACGACGCTTGGCGTCTCCGAAGAACTCGTTTAGCGCATCGTATGCAGCACGCTTCCTGATCTCGTAGTCGTTGTTGAGCTGTTGAGATTGATTGACAGCATAGTAGACTGGACCGTAAGCAGAGTTTTGGGGTGGGCCTCCATAGAAACCAGCTGGAGCACCACCTGGGTGTTGCTGGCCGTAACCTCCGTTGGGGCCAAGGGCACTATCGGGATACTGGTATCCACTTGCTGTAGCGGCAAGTGCCTGCAAGTCAGCGACCACTGCAGTAGTCTGTTAGATATTGAAAGAGAGTGAAGGGCAGACGTGAGAGCCGATGTTGAGATCGATCAAGTCTTGTGAGGAGTACTTACGTTTGCCGTTCTGGCCCGGGTAGCCTTGGGCGCCATGGGGACCGCCTCGGTTGGGCTCTGGAGAACGGAGCAATACGGAATCGTCGGCGTGCGTCTTTACGTGCTTCTTGAGATCCTGAGGGCGCTTGAACGCCTTACCGCAGAAATCGCACTTGTGCGGCTTCAACGGGACGTGTACGCGAATGTGAGAAGTGATGTGATCGCGTTTGACCGTGGTGGTGCGGCAGTTGCCCCACTGGCAGGTCAAATTCAGGTTGTTGGTGCTCTTGCGACCAACATGGCGCTCACAAACGTGATCCTGCAATCGAGTCAGTGAACTGGAACGACAAAGCGACAAGATCGAACGCGCCGCGGCGCGATATGCAGTCGCTAGAAATACTTGGCGGTCAACTTACATATAGCTGCTCGGCAGAGGGCAGGCGGTCACCACAGTTTTGCCATTGACAAACAAGCTGGTCGCCTGAGCCACCAGCAACTGAGGCGGGCGTTGGGGCATTCTGCTGGATGGGAGTGCCTTGGGGTTGTTGTTGAGGAGTTGTGGCCGCTGCGGGCACTGTACTCTGGACTTCGCTCATCGTCTTGGCGAAGTCGAATGTTAGTTGCCAATGATGATGAAGGTTGGTGGTGTGCGAAAGAGTCAGAACAGCTCAACGTGATGACAGATATCGCAAAGTTAAGCCGCGGGGTGGAAAGAGCAGCCTGGGGTCGTGGAGCAAAGTCAGAGGAGAAAACGCCCAGAGGTTTTCGCGGGCAGTTGGCAGCTTTTACCAGCGGAACGGAGCGGGCGAAGATTCGCCCAGAGAAAGAGAAACTGGCGCGGTCGAAGAACGAGGCACAGCCCTGCTAAGCCGAGCTTGGAAAGGTCCGGGGATGGTGGGCAAAGCCTCAATGTGATTCGGCCTTGTCATCCCAGCTGCCCCACTCTCTTACTCACTGGCGCCTTGGCCCTCATCTTGGCCAGACGCGATTGCTTCGCCGACATCCGTCAGTCGCAGATGACCACATGCGAACCACAATCAAGTAACCGCTCCATGTTTTCGCGGGGCACCCGGTGCGCGTATCGAGGGGCGCTACGGACGAAGAGGGTCATGGGCGTTGTTGTGTGCGGTGGGTGGATGGGATACGTTGCCACACCCTCGACCCCTCACATTGAAGCGACACAACCGAAACAGCAATCAAAATGCGGAACTCTTGGTGCCCTTGGCTCACCAGCAACAGCGGGAAGTATTGGCATCCAATCTGCTCCAGTTTTGCTGCGTTCCCACACTCTTGTCACGCCATCGCATCGTCGCCACTGGGCAGCTGTGGCTCGCGGGCTGGTTATGCTACAGAGTACATACCTTGGAACAAAGAGACATCGAGCTGCGCATCGCATGGCCTCTTAATTTCCCGTCTCGGACTAATGGCTCGTCGCATTCGCATTTTGCGCCAGTGGAACATCGATGCTTGTCCAGCATCCCTTATCCTGGCGAGTACTTTAATGGTACTCCAGGAAATGTATGCGCTGTTAACACCAGTCAACATGCTCTCGACGCTTGAGAGATGGTTCAATCACAATGTTTTTTACTATCGCGATTACGCTGCGCCCGTACAAGGATGGGTTCTGTCACGATCGACCTTAGTCTTACAACTCCTCAAGTATTTGGTACACACCTAGGACGCTCAGCCCCTCGATAAGATCCTACGAACAGCTCGGGGTTTCGGAATCTCAAACGATCGCCAACTTTGAGCGGGATGTCCACGCATCCACGTTTCCACTCTTGGCTTTTCGCCAAGTGCCCAGCAATGTAGGCCAAGAATTGAGCGATTATTACATTGAGGCTATGCACGCTTACGAGGCAGGAGATATGGCCGTACGGAACAATGTCATTTGCCGCAAGTATAGCCTTGCAAATGGTAAGTTGTACGGGTTCCTGACGGCCAACTATATCAGCGTTGCGCTATTTACTCTCTACTAGAGGCCCGACAGATTTCTTTTTCAGACGTAGCTAAAGTTCGATCTCCATACTTCAGGGGCAGCGAGAGCTACCGCCCGAACGTGGGTATGGCTTGGATCATGTCTCAGCACCCCAAAATCGGCACTTCTTGTGTCCAACATCGCTGCATTCGACAAGCAAAGCGCACTCTGAACCAAAGCATAAGTGTCACAATTCCATGATGAATTTCTAGCAAAGAAGCTGTTTCCCCACGTACCAAATCATCTTCAGGGACACATCTGCGACGGGCCTTGTTCGTTTCTAATGAATCAGGGTACCTGATCATGGACACATCTCGACCTCAAATGACTTAGTTTCGATCTCTCTGCTATATCTGCCGAGCAAAAGACGCGTGTACATACAATACATGCAACCAGCCACCTGTAGCACCCACTCGGGCAGCCAACGTGCAAGCGCAGTGGACGAACAAACGAGCCACAACACCGCCACATATACCTCCTATCTGCACCATGACGGACGCCCTGCCACTACTCCGTCGTCCAAGATCAGCGGAGGGGCTTGGAAGATTGGGGCAGGTCTTAGTGCCCATCATGCTCTGTTCCTGTCTGCCGATGCATCCGCTTCCTCGTCCCGCACGAACACCAAGAGTACGGCAGAGCGGAATTCTTGATTTTGAGCCGCCAAGCAACAACATGTACTTTCTCCGCAGAACATCCTCACATCAACTCTTTATTAACCAACGCGTTGCGAAACCCGTCGTGGGGTTTTGAGCGCCGTCTTGCTGTCAGCATAAAGCTGAATAACATCCGCATAGGGGCGGCCCTTGGTCGAAACACATGATCATCTACTAGGTCCTGCCAGAGATCGATGCCCAAACGGCTGGTTAGGATCAGCTCAAACTCTGCAGATTTAAGCTTTGTCGCATATGTATGGCTGGCGGCGTCATCGTGCAAATACGTGATGCTCCTCATCGTCCAGTCTAGAACTGAAAACATACCATCGACACTTTAGAAAGTATGACATGCAAAACCTCCCTGGAAGCACACTGACCGAGACTCTATGTGGCATGCGTCACCCCGCTGGCGTTGCCCAAACACAAGCATCCTAGATAACACGCAGAATAAGATTCGCAACGGAGGCTCAAATACGTCCACAGCTTTTCATTGCTATAACAAAACGTCATCGATAGCGACATACCCACCAACACACAACCTTCCAGGCCTAGATCTTGGCCCGTTTCCTGTCCCCCAATCTCAGTCTACCCTCTCTTCTCACCCGCCTTTCTCAACACATCAGCAACAGCATAATATGCTGGTTTTCTCTGCAGGTTCTGATTCCAGAGACAGGCATTGCCCTCCCCTACAAAGGTCTCAGGCACCCAGCTAACAGTGTCCCAAAAGTCCCAAACTGTGACTCCAACGCAACTTTCCTCATCCGCACATGCGCGGACCGAGTCAGCGTAGATGGTAGCCTGGGCAGCTGTCTTGTTTGCATTGTCTGGCAGTGTCATTCGAACATCAAGTTCAGTCAACGCTGTTTCCAGACCCAGGTTAGAAAAGAGCTGCTGCGAAGCACGAATATCAGTATACAACGGTGCTCTGCCCACTGTAAAATGCGCTTGTAGCCCCACACCATCAATGGGCACACTGACGCCTTGGTACTCTCTGATCATACGTGCAACAGCCAAACTCTTGTTGTTCACTCTCTCAATTCCGTAGTCATTATAGTATAGTTTGGTGCCTGGACTTGCATATTGTCTTGCTAGACGAAATGCATGTTCAATGTATTCTGGACCGATGGTATCCAACCAGATTGTCTTTCGCAGTGTGCCGTCGTCGTTAAAAGCTTCGTTTACTACGTCCCATGCGTAACAATCGTTCCAGTAATACTCTGCGACGTTTTTGATGTGGTTTTCTAGGACCGTAAGCAGACTGGCTTTGGTCCAGGTACCTGTTGTGAGCCAGGTGGGGAGTTGATTGTGCCAGAGAAATGTGTGACAGCGGCGGATCTGATCGGCCTCTTTGCTGGCGTCGACGATTTGGTCCCCCAAAGTGTAGTTGAAAAAGTCGCGTTGCGGCTCTGTATATACCCATTTCTGACCGTTGGAGGCGGTTACTTGGTTGAACTCGGAGCGCTCGAAGGCTATGGAAGTGTATTCATCGTTGTCGAGGACTACGTTGTCAACAGCCGTGCCAAAGTACTTGAGCCCAGCTTTCTTTGCGAGATCGCCGAGACCTGGAGCCGAGTTCAGGTGAGAGACGAAGCTGGAGCGTGGATGTATGGGGGCAGGTGTTGGAGAGGCAAGTACAAGCGGGAAGACAGAGCAAATGATAGAAAGCTTCATTCTGAAATTCTTGAGGTAACTGAGGGAAGGAAGAAATATCAGACATGGCACTTGTTGTACGATGTCAAATTCCTATCAACCCTGTTCGCCAATTATCCGCCACCGGAAGTACAGTGTAACCCAATATACAGTCCGGTCCTACAAAGGTATGATAAAACATAGTCTCTCTGTCGTTGGTGACGGTGAAAGTGTCGGTAAAATGCTTAGTATCTACTGTTGTTGTAATAACCAACCCCGATTTGAAGAATGTGGCGTAAGGCCTCGAGATCAAACCCGTACTGCAATATGATATAATTTAGAGCTAGGTTTACCGTGAGCTCTGAAGGACATGCATAATATGAATCCCGTGCAACAATATGTAAAGCTTTATAATGTTCATCTGGAAACACGACGATTGCAGAGAGAGGTGTTTACATGCTATCAAATCGGGTATCCTAACACAGCAGCCTGAGCTCGAATACCTTAGCCAACAAACGCTAATTGGTGGGACCACAGAGTAGTACTCTCGAGTCTCTTGTTTCAGGCAGCTGCTTTTTTCCAGACCAAGGCACATATCGTGGTCGTTCACTAACAGCTTCGACGTTGCAAGGTATGCGGCAGGACGGAAATAGGCTAAATCGAGGTTCATCAGTTACGGCTACCACCCCCCTTGAAGCTGGGCTGTGCTCAGCACTCCTCTTGTTGAGGAGTTTGGATTGCTCTATCCCTTCTATCGTCGTATCTATCATGCTCCGCTCCAGTGACACCTTCATTGTAATTTTTCAATACCGTTGAAGACACCAGCTTCTTCCAGCTCTTGGATAGAAACCTTGGGCATTGGACTGACTGCATCTGCACACTTGAGCGCACTTTCGATACTGCCCCAGAATGCATCAAGGTTAACGCTTCTAGGTATGCGACAGCCACCTTCACCGATTGGAAGCTTGGTGACCTTTGTTCTACCAAGCTCACCAACTTTCAACTTGTCCGACGAATGAAGGCCTTCGGTGACTACATCAACTTGGAAGCGTTCGCCGCCTCTGTCGTCGAATATTTCGGGATTATAAGCAGCTGCGACAGCGAGCGGATCATGTAACGGTGGCCCTTCGGTTATAGAGAAAACCTCAGCGTATGTCCCAGCGAAAAAAGACATGATTTGAGTGAACAAGGCCCGCACAGCCGAAGGTGTGTGGTCACTCTTCGAGCCTGGCGAGTTCCATGTCGCATCTCCGTATAGCTGTGTCTGGCGAACTTTCTTCGTACCGAGAACTTGATGCGTCAGATCAAGAGGTACAAGTGTCGTCTTGAGCTTCAGAACAGGGTGCGAGAAGATGAAGTGAGATGCTTCAGGATCACACTAGACATGTCAGCGTTCCCCCGTGTTTTGGAGCAATCGGTTTTCTTACGTAGATCTGTTGGAGTAGGTCAGCCTTGTCTATTGGCGCCAGATATGAGGATTGTAGCATACGTTGAACTCAGCATATGGCGTCCAGTTGCCAAATCTTTCGCCCTCTCCCTCAACCGTACCCATTGGCGCATCCGTAAAACCTCCACCCACCGCACCACCCATTATACTGAGACCTTTGAGATGAGCCGCTAGATGGGTGTACTTCTGAAATAGCATGCCGATGTTGGTCAATGTGCCCGTGGAGACCAACCAAGCGGTGTTTGGTGGTGTAGCCATGAGCGCTCGGTGCATGGCTTCGAGGTGGTCGACGTCGGTCGCTGCTGGTTCGACGGGACTCGGTAGCAAGGTGACACCATCCAAGCCGGACTCGCCTGCGACAATTAGCACATAACCATCAGTTGTTCGGCGAGGCGCCTGTACCATGGATGTCGGCAGCATGTACAGCATCGCGTACGAGAGGCTTCGAAGCGCCAGTATAGACCTTCACACGGCGCTTTCCAACTGCCTCCAAGATTGCCCTTGTGTTGTACGTGGTCTGCTCGAGCGCAGCATTGCCGTGGACAGTGCTTACGCCGAGCAGCTCGACTTTTGGATCGTGCGCGCAGAGCAGGAGGGCATAGGCATCCTGGAGTCACGATGAGCAGCGTGTCGGGAAGAGCTTATCTGAGACTCACATCATGCCCGGTATCCTTGCTTGGTCAGCATTGCACATGGAGAAGGCACAAGCAAATACACACGCAGTCGAGCCAAATTGGAGTCTTGGAAGAAGGAGCGCTCATAGTATATTATATCGCCCCGGGAACCGTGTTTATTCTGCGTGCAGCTTCGACTGCAGATACGTACCACATGCACCGTATGCACATGCAGGGTCGTAAGCGGGATGCTTGGTGGGGTCCACGGGGCGCCGCACCCCTACTGGCTGGAGAACCAGGACCGCGGGTCTCTATCGACATCCGTTCTATTCATGCTCGGCTCTCACCCAAAGGCCTCAGAAGACACCACTGGCCTGCTCCGAAACATAGCGGTGAGAGGAAGAAGGAGCTCGCTCATTTTGGTGCTTTGAGCAAATTTCGATTGGCTGGGTTCTCCGGCACCGTCAGCCCTGCATCCAAGTCCGAGCCTAGGTCATGCTAGACACGGATTCGTGACAAGCACACGTACACAACGCTACTGCTCCACATCGCTGTCCTACACCTGGCTTCGTTCCTTTCAGTCGCGACGCGCCGGTTGTTAGGCGTACACTTCGAGGCCGCAAGCCATCTCTGTTGGTTCTTCAGTCGAGGACCTATCCGCCGTAAAGCCGGGCTGATCCAGGAGCTGTTCACATGTGCGATACGCAACGTTGGTTGCATTGAGCGAACCTCGAGATGGATCTCCTTCGGCGTCACAAGGGACACCATGAGGTGAAGACAGATCGATACTGGGCACTTGGGTATTACTTTGAAAGCCTGAATGACGAGCAGAAACATCAACGCCGGGAGTATCTGGAGTGGTATGGGTTTATCGCACAGTGGTCGGTCTTGGTAATATTTGCGCTTTTCCAGATTGGCTTTGCCTTGTCTTGGGTGATGAGGACTGGTTTGAGGTATGATCAGCCCAAATCGCCATCGTTCACCAAACGGCCAAAGGATAGATTAGGATGGCTGCGAAGTATCCAGAGTGGCTGTAACAGGGTGGCATGGTGGATGAAAAAGGATGTGGTTGGAGGGTGGGGTTGGGGTACAAGAGGAGAATGGATTGGTGCAAGTATCTGGACCGTATGGCTGGGGTACCTTTGCATTGCTCATACCGGCAATGGTATGGATTCTGAATATTTGCCCTTCGTGACTTAGACTGACCGTACACAGACTATCTCCATCTCACAAAACGTTTCGGACAAGTTGGCGCATCACAGTTACCAATCCATTACCTACTTGCGGTGCGAGCGCCCTACAGCCCCGTACAGTATTTGACGCGACTCTCCCATGAGCAAATCAAAGCCTCGCATCAGATACTGGGACGTATCACATTCTTACTTTTCCTACTACATACAGCCCTCTATCTGAACTTCTTCGTTCTTTCCGGTTTCCTGGCAAAGCGCATCAAAGACTGGGATGTCATCTGGGGCCTTGTCAGCATCATTCTCTTCTCCACTATCTCGACGACCGCCCTGGGATTCGTACGAAGAAAGAACTACCGGGTGTTCTACATCTCGCACATCGCCATTGCCAACTTCATCGTTGTGCCTCTGTACCTACACGTATCGCATATCCGCATATACGTGTACGAAGTCCTCGCGATAGAAGCATTTCATGTCATTTCTCGGGCTTTGCGTTTGAACATGTACCAAGGCACCCTCAGACTTCTTCCTGGCACCAATCTTGTCCAGATCCGCATCCCGTTACCAGCAGAGAGTACTGCGCTTGTTTGGAAGCCTGGGCAGCATGTGTATCTTAGCAGGCCGCATATCAGGGAGAAGACTCCCACATGGTACGACCAATGGCTTATGACAAACAAGACGAATCCTTTCACCGTTGCTTCTCTCCCATCGAAGGACAAGGAACTGCTCCTTATCGCGAGAACGCTTAACGGCAACACAAAGTATCTGGGAGAGCTAGCGCGCTCTTTGTCGCAAGGAGGAGGGAATGTGCCAATGCTACCTACAGCTGGTGGCGATATTCCCATCTTGCCATTTTCCCTCGAAGGACCATATGGGGCGTCAAGTCGCCTACCGGATTTTTCAGACTTTGACAAGGTACTTTTGGTTGCAGGGGGCGTTGGTGCAACGTTCATCGTACCCATCTATCGGAGCATTATCGAATTACACGACCCTGCGCCTGCAGGTACGCAGATACGATGCATTTGGGCGGTTCAGAAGCTGGCCGAAACACAGTGGGCATTCCCTGCGAGTTCCGCATCGGATGACGAACACGGAGACGACGCAGCAGCCGACACGAATGAGACTGGATTGTTACATGGCCCGCGCAACGTGGAAGTTTATGTTACACGACCTTCAGGGCCGAGGTCACGAGCCGATGTGAGCGCGGCCGGTGTTTTCGCTATCGATCCGGACAGCGACGTGGGGGAAGGGATCGAAATGCAGGAGAATGAGCAGCTGTTGGACATGGAAGAGCAAATGGAGAAGTCGCAAAAGGGGATGCTTGTCAAGAGCGGGAGGCCGGATCTTAGCAACGTGGTAGATGAGGTGTTTAGCAAGGGTATGAGAACGGCAGTAATCTGCTGCGGACCGAAGAGGCTGACAGACGATCTGAAGAGAAACGTTGAAGTGTGGGTGAAGAAAGGGCACGACGTATTTTGGTACGACGAAACGTTTGGCTGGTGATAATGAATTGAAGTTCGTAGTCGGTGTGTTATTGAGATGGTGAACAGCGTTATACTTGCCGCCAACCCGGCAATCGGGTACTCGCAGTGGGTCACATAGATCATGCATGCTCCCGAAACCCTGGGCCTCCCATTTGGTACTGCGAAGGTGAAGACGTGGACATTGCATGGAGGCTTTGGAACTTTGAGGCTACACGATGGACCAAACTTTAAACTACTGACGGCCTCTAGACTCGCTCGATCATCGCAACGCCGGGCTGTGGGCCGTTGCCGGAGGCCATCTTGTCAGGAACGGGAAAGGCGTAGGGAGACGGAAGCTTGTCCAGACAGTTGTGCACTGAGCAGTCTGTGTGCATAACACAGAAACAATCAAACTTGGTTCATGGGTGCCTGCGATGTTTACCCGGCGTGTGTCGTTTTTGGTGCTCGTCAGCGATGGGAAGGGGGATGGTCAAACAGTAAAAGGAAGCGCGTGTCTGGAACTGCGAACCATGTGCCCAAGTAGTATTTGCTTTTTGCACATAGCTGTCGCAAAGCCGTTCAGGTTTAAGGAGTTGGACCCATAAAGTCCCCATTCCCCTTTGGTCGCGGCGCAGATTAGACGAGGCCCGAGCAGACTGCAGCCAAGCGCGAATCACCATCTTCCCCGGCAATCAGAGCAACGCTCCCAAATCCTCTTCTCCAAGGGCTCCTTCATCCCGTCGCGACTCTCTCACGAATCATTGCGGCTGCTGGACCCATTGTGTGCGGCCGTGTCTCGGATCGCCGACTTCTGCTTGTCTTTCGTTGTAGTAATTCTCCTTCTCTTTCCTTCTGATAGCACGCGCCGGTACCAGTTGACCACACCCTTCACCAAGCAGGGAAGTTGCTTGCACGCGCATGCAAACCACCCCTCACAACTTCTGGCCTGCGTCCCCACACCTACGTCTTGCCTCCTTCTCGCCCATGGCATTGTTTTTATAGCTGCAGTGCTCCATAATAGGGAGGTTTCCACCGTGAGGCTACTTGTACACGACAGCCTGCCAGCGGCCGTAGTCTGCCCGGCATCGCCCCTTCCTTTTCCGCCCTCGAAACCCTACATTGCGCCGTCCAGCCGACGTCGACGGGTCTCGCGTTCCCAAACCAACTTTTCCTACCGCCTCGTAGTCTCGGGCGGCACGTCATCGGACAGACCCCCAGCCACCTCGCAGCTCCTTCCATGGCGACTTTCGCGGCATCCCGCCAAACCCCAGCTTCGATCCAGCAACTGACGCCCCCTAGCAGTTCCCACGGCGCAGGAGGGTCGTGGGACTTTGCTGTGCCTGTCAACGATTCGGTACGTACCAAGTTCAGTCCCTGTGAAGCTGCGTCATATGGGTCCGGCTCGACTTTGCCTTTGCACTAAGTGCACTACTGCGCCTGTCCCCATGGCGCATCTGACCGCCAACTGCACCCACTCACATCCTGATTAACAAACTCGCCTGCAATCGTGTCAAGCTACGAGTGATAGTGTGCTGACAACCATCCTAGAGGCAATCATATGAACAGGAGCCCTACATGTCTGAATACGGTGCTTCTGCCCACGGTTCTCGCCAACCCCTCACATCGCAAGCCAACGGTTTCGTCAAGCCTGTACGCTCGCCCACGTGGGACTCGCAAGATCTCAGCCAGGCTCCCGACCGCATGAATGAACTGCACAAGAAGAAGAGTGGAGACATGATTGCGAACAATATCGACCAGGATAGCGTGTTGGAGTACTACAAGAGCCACACCAACAACAAGAAAGGTCCCGTCGCCGTCAAGGGAAAGCCCAAGAAGAAGACGACAAAGTCTGGTGCAACAGAACCCGAGTATGACGAGAATCACTGGATACACCGAGACAAGCTCAAGGAGATTGAAACACGAGAACTCGAAGAGGCAGGATTCAGGGTTGGCCGGTCGAGCAGATCCAACAGCCGCTCGCAAAGCGCCACACGACGTGCGCGAGACCGCACAAACTCCGCATCGACCGAACGGACACAGAACGGCGAAGAGCGAACCGAGCCCCGAAAGCGCATATCCACAATACCAGCTGAGGATGAGGAGCCGATAGAGGGCTACCATGCTTGGAGCCCAACATTCCCGGCTGACGGCACGACTGAATTTCAACCAAGTTCTCAGCGAACGAATCACACTGTAAGGCCTAGTACGTCTCGCATTCCCTTGCCCAAGACTAGCGGTATACCTGTACCTGCTTCAATGGCAGAGCGTGACGCGCCACTGCCGAGATCTAGAGCAGGGAGTGGAAACTGGAACGGTGATGCCATCGCTACCATGGGTGCACGAGTGCGAAGTGGCAGTGTAGGCAGCCAAGCGTTGCTCGATGATGCAGACGATGGTCGACAAAGGACTCCACCGTATGGTAGTGGCCATAGGCGCAATACTTCCACCGGAAGCTGGAGTCCGCCAAAGTCACCCCAAAAATCCCCTATGAAGGCCA